ATGCGTGCTACTATTAGTCGTCACAATACTGGAAATAAAGAAAATGATAGTTGTTTATATTCTAGTATTGTCCGACTTCGTTTACTGAGAATTTTACGTCTGAAATTTCATTTTGAATAACCTTTTAAAACATTTTATTTTTATTATAAACCTAAATGATTACCGAAATTCAAAGTGTCTTTATCAGTAGTTATAATATTTATCTCATATTTTGTTTCTATTAAAAGGTCGTATAATTCCAGGTAGTCCAGCTGATAAATGTGGACAGTTAGAAGTTGGACAACGTATACTGGCTATAAATGGTTATTGTTTATTAGGAATTAGTCATATGGATATTGTAAATCTTATACGTCAAAGTCAACAACAATTAATTTTGACAATTGAAAAACCCGGTAAATTATATGTTATGCTTCAAAAAACTTGAATATAATATTTGACAGAGAAAACAAAATGAAATTGGTTAAGATCCTTTGTATCTCTCACTATCAAAAACGAGCTATAATTATAAGATAATTATTCTATACATGTTACATAACACTACTATCTAACGTTTATTTCCTTACATATCGTACATCTTTTTCCTTACTCTTCTATGCATCACACAAGGTTTTCACAAGTTCAATTTTAACTGATGTAAACAATTGAGTATGTATGTTGGAGTTCTTAGAATTTGAAATAAATGTTCATAACTACTTTTAACAAAGGAAACTTGGAATAAAGTGTTTACCTTATTTAAAAAAATCATAAAGAAAAACCTCGGTTCAATAGAAGTCATCTATCGATAAATGGATCATCACAGTAATCAACAGTTTTCACTATATGTTGACATTATAGAGAAACTATTTAGTTATGTTCACTTGATGTCGTTTTACTTGTATCTTCCCATTGTTATTTAGGACTGCAATTAATCAGTCCCTTGTTTGCATATGTGCATCCTGGGCGGATTACCTCGATATAGCCTTAAATCACAAGCTTTTTAAGCAATGATGGATCGTAACTAGCAGTGGACTTCCTGACGTGCGTTTCGTCTTATTTGCGACTCGTCAGCTGGATGTACTTGCATCCCAGTGTTGATGTTCACTCTGCAACTCGGACCCAGTACCGTTCACTTCAAATGACATTATGTTATCCACTTAGCTACTGAGTCCTGATAATGCGATGATGTTTGAAGTGAGCGGTACTGGGTTCGAGTCCCGGAGTGAACATCAGCTCTGGGATACAGGCACATCCGGCTGATGAGTCCCAAATAAGACGAAATGAACGTCGTGGATTCCTTTGCTAGCCACCATACTTCTAGTAAAGTAAAGAAATCCAACAATTTTATATCATATAATTATGCATCAATATTATAATGATGTATAACACTTTATATCACAAATTCTACCTCTTAACTTACAGGTTCTTTGTCTAATGACCAACATAAAAGCCGTACTAACAGTTTAGATACAGATGAAAACCTTATCCCACCAGCTACTTCTACAATGATTTGTTCCAATCCAACTGTATGTTTTCGTCCTACAAATGGTTTAAAAACTACAGAAGTAAGTTACATAGAATATTTATTCAAAAACTATTCATCAATGAACGTATTACTTAACAATCCACGTATTAATAAGTCTATTCTTGTCAAATTATGAATTCTTGTGATTCAATCGACAAAGTAGCGATACGGTCATCTAAATATTAATACCTTAAATCCTACTGCAACCTAAATTCTAATCAAGTTTAATAATATTTATGTCAAAAGTCCTGTTCACTATTCAACAATTTTCATTTCACAATTTATTATCAAGATTCAAATCATGTAGTAAGGCTTAATGTTGTTTTTTCGATTCTGGAAGTCTCAATTTATCATAAGTTAATCAGAAATTCATTATAATGTTTACATTTAATATGATTTTTTAAAAACTAGTGTAGTATTCCCTTACAATCATATTTCTTTCAGAATACAGAGTCGAATTTATCGATAAATCAGTTCCATTCTGATTGAACATACAAATGCATAAATCAAATAATTAACTATAAATTAATTTAGATAATCAGTGGTAATTAAAAATAGCAACATGATCAAAATTCTTGACCTTTCTGAATGACCAACCCAATAAACTGTACACATCAATGAACTAGTAAAGAAAAACTACCGAATCAAGCAATTATATCCTAGCTTCGGGTAAAATGAAGCAGAACAAAATAAAGTGCAATAAGATTTTCGAGTTTGATTAAATGATAATGGACACAATTTTTCAGTGGTTATTTAAAAGGTTACTTGCCATAGATATAAGAATAAATCATCAAACTCTATAAATCTAAATTTATGCATGTGGTTGAAGTATCACAGTAAGATATAGACGTAACCTGATCTTCGATAAATCCGTTTGGAGCATTATTGAAAGAATAGCATTTGTCGATATAATTTTAAATTCAAACGTACGTGAGCTGATTGGTTCATTCGTAAGTAATTAGAAATAAAATGTTCTGTTTTATTTAATATGTTTTCAATCGAGCCCCCTAAAACTCACTTGCGAATTCAGAAAAGATGAAAGTTTAAGAGTATCTCAGTTAAATATTTTGTTTTATTTCAAACTAGCTGCTGGATGAAAACTGTGTTGTAAAGCCAAGCTTGAATAACATTTCGACTAGAAGCCTATATTCAATTACATTACAACGTGGTCCGAATGGTTTTGGCTTCTCCGTCCGCAGTGGATTCGACTCGAACACATCTCCGTTAATTGTATATCGAATAGCGGATAATGGACCAGCTTTTCAAGAAGGACAAATGAAAGTGAGTTGTATACCAATATGACAATTGTTAATGTCTTAAAAATTATTTACGCCACTACTCAAATAGTTACGCACCGTTGAGATGGCCGTTATGACCGGTTTACATAAGTCTCTAAGGAACAATAACGAAACATTTGCAACTTCGAGTTGAACACACTAAGAGACTAACTAATCACTTCAGTTTTACTGAATGATCATAACTGAATTATGCTTTGGCTTTCGGTATCATACACATTGTTGTTATCGTATATATAGATATATTTATTGCTGTTATATGTACTCATGTTGACAAGTATGAAGAATAATCAGTGAAATAGCTTATATCCAATAAATTACATGGGTGACTCAATAATTATTTATCTGTTGAAGGCCATATATATATATATATATATATATATATATATATATATATATATATATATATATATATATATATCCAACAGGAAGACGTTTCTTTATGACCATTGTATGTTTCTAGTTAATAATTATATTGATGGAAATGACAACATATAGTCCAACACTCGATATATAATACTATCTTTATTGTTATCATCATTTAGGTCGGAGATGAAATTCTAGAGATTAATGGGATTAGTACATTTACAATGACACATCAACAAGCTGTCACATTGATTAGATCAAGTGGATCAACTCTAAGAATTCTATTGCAACGTTACAATGAAAATCAATATGAATATTCATTTTAAAGAAAAAACGACGATGACGACAACAGAGGAATGCTTATAGAAAATACATGAAGATATAGACATAGGTAAAAAAATAAATGTTGATGAATTTCACCATTTAAGTTTTGTATAGAGAGAATATATTTCCGAAATTGTACAGTTAATCAGATTTTAAAATTTTCATTAAAACACAAATGTACAATTCTTCTTATGCTGTTTGACTTTAAATATATGTAAAGATTAGTTTAAGTGGTGAATGGGTCTTTTTTATAATCATAAATTAACATCAACTGAGGAATTATTAGAAAATAAGCAATATTAGATAATTGTTTCATCTCAGTATAAAACTCATTAGAAGTGTACATTCACAACTCCACTAAGAAGGGGATCTTTTATAACCTAATGAAATAATATTAAGAAATTGACACAAGTATTACAAGTTATTTTACCGAAATAGTTAATAACTAAAGAGGGATTCAATAAAACAAAGAATAATTGTAAATAATACGTAATATGAAATCTAGAAGGACTAGTCATACATTGATGGATAAAAATATTATAAAGTCTAAGACTTTTGTGAATAGATTTCTAGATCCTTTTAAGAGAATCAAAACTCAAACAGGTTTAAACATTTTTCGTTTGATCAACATAAACAAATGGTCATCTCCATCTCGTGCTAAGAGATTTGCAAGAAAGCACTAATAACTACTGCAAATGTTCCTGTAAGTACAGAACAGTTGGAATCTGACTAGCAATCCAATCTAGGACACGTACTTCATCCTATTTGCGACTAGTCGGCTGGATGTAGCTGCAAACCAAAATTGACTGATGTTCACTTCGTGACTCGTAACTGGTACCTTTCTCTTTAAATGCCCATGTTATCCACTTAGCTACTGATTCCACATAACATCTCACAAACAGACTATATAATATTCTCAGATTTTAGCCACCATAAAGATGGTTTACAGTTAGACGTATGGCTTATCCTTTAACCTACTTCAATTTAGACAGGCAATTTATACTATTAGCGCTAAAATTAAAGCAAATATAACTCAAGACTGAGTAAACAAACATGTAGGTGGCTGGTTACATCAATTGAAAACATAATTTCAAGAAACTAAATCAATAAGAACATTGCTTAGAACCACTAAATCCTTGGGTGATATAATATACATGATTTTAGAAAGTGTATTATTTTATTCCTTATTCTTGTACACAAATAGTACAGTGTAGGCTTTTTGGTAACAAATAACATATCTAAACAATTGTTGACCTAATTTCGCATGTATTTTGCAAAACATAACATAATATACCTTTAACGATGCATAATAAAACTTAGTTAATTGATACGAATGACTATTAAACAATTAACACGACAGAAATTCATTAAATTACATGAAACGCTAAAAATCACCCACCCCAACACCCCTCCGTTCAATAATATTACGACTTAAGCGTTGCTTTATGATCAATAAATTTTACCAACCAAACATAAGATACATGTACACAATTCATTATTCTATATTTATAAATACATAATCTCAATTTTGTTCTATGATGATTATTTTTCTTAAACTTACCTATAACTTCATTTGAATACAAGCAGTTTTTGTCATTAAAAAAAATTTATTCTCTTTTACACATACAAAAAGAGAAAATGATACACATTGTAAAATAAGTAAATAAAAAATACAGAGTAGACGAGTGAGAAGAGGAAGAGAATAATTGAAACACAAACCTAGAAGTGTTTGCATTAAAATATATCCACTAGAAATGGTACAGCTACAACCGCCACCACCACAACAACAATGATAAAAAGCAAACGAATAAATTTATTATTTTCATACAAAAGAACGATTCATTAAAAAATCCTAAGCAGAAAAAAAAGAAACTTTTTTCTCTTTTTTCGCCATCTCTCACTATTCATTGCCACAGTTACAATTTTCTCGTGGTTTTCTAAGGGAACAGAAGAAATATGCTGGGAGGGAGAAAACACAACAAAATAACAAATACTAGAGACGCAAAACAATTTTCACACTATAAACTGTACATAATAGAATTATAATTAATGATAATAGTACTAGTTAAAAAGCATAATAATCTTATAAACTGAAAAACATACATCTGATTTGTTTATGATAAAAAATATTTTTTTTACTTCTGAAAGATGTTAATGATGTGATAGTAAGTTTACAGAGGTAAGATGGAATGAGTCACAAATAATTAAGTAGAGTGAGTGAGTGAGTGAATGAGTGAGTGAGCAGAGGAATACAAAGGCAAAGTGGTGAAAACTGAGTTTAAACTTGAAAAAAAAGTTAAGGAGTTAACGAAGTAAAGATGAAAAATTTGCTGAGTATTTTTCTTTTAATATACATTCATTATTTTTAAAAATAATCCTATTCAGTAGTATATCTAACACAGAAAATATGTATTTTTTTGAAAAATAAGGTTAAATAAAAATTTTAATTAAAAAAAGCCTAGAAACAGTACACACAAAAATACATGAATGAACGCATAAATAAGTACTAATTACAAATATTCATATCGTCTTGATCCATTATCATTCGACTGATCATTGTAATGTATCTCATTACTAATCATCATCATCATGTTATTCTTACGTAATAAGAGAGAAAAAGTTTTGAAAGAGAAAGAATTAAGAAGAGATTAATATACACATTATTGTTATTACACAAATTTACAGATAGTTGACTACTTACAAAAACGATAACTATGTCTGATAAAATACTAATAATGTTTTTAAAAAAAGAAAAAAGAAAGAAGAGAAAATGAAGACATTCAACTATAACAATCATGTAATATAAATACAAATATATTTATGATAGTTTTTTACTTGGACTAATATTTTGTTGTTCTTGAAAAAGCCATACTTCATGAACAGCTTTTTTATGTTTATCTAAACGTGATTCTGAAGCAAGTAACATTCCACATATATGACAACCATAACCTAAATTAGGCACTGATAATACAGTAGGCCAATATTGACTACGATTTGTATGATGATGATGATGATGATTAGTATTAGTAGTAGTATTTGTTGATTTTAATGTTAGTAAATGTTTTAATAATTTTTCAGTTGATTCAAATAATGGTGAATCATGTGAACAGCCTGGACAAGCGATAGATTGTGATAATAAGTTATTAGATAATTCATTTTTATGAATGAATGATTTATTATTATGATGGGACATTAAAGTTTGATGAACTTTTAAGCCAGTTCCAGATCGAAATTCTCGATTGCACTGTTCACAAATTACAGAAGTTTTAACTTGTGAAATATTGTTCGTCGATAAAATAGATTTTTGTTTATTGGATCGATTTGGATGAGATGAACATCGTGCACGATGTATTTGAAGGTAACGCCAACACTTAAATCCAGAACGATTACACCAAGAACAAGTAAATAATGATGACGATTCATTGATTTTTAAACTACAATCAGATGCTGGGACAGTTGTTGCATTTGAGATGACAGATTTGACATCGTCAATTAAATTATCACTTAAAGATTGTGTAGACACCGATGATCGACGACTACTATAGGGTAGACAAAAAAGGTTAACAGAAAATAGTATTGACCATTTCAAATTTTACAAAATCGGCCTCTGATTACCGTTACAAAAACATTTTAATCATCTTGCTTTATTCACATTATAATCTGTTGATAACTTATTGGTTTAACAAAACTTTATATTTGCACATACAATCGTTTTATTGTTGTCGCTCGTATTATGCAAACTAGTATTATAATCTCTTTAATGCATTATCACGTTTATTCCTTGTTCATATGACCTCATAGAACTAATACCTCAACAAAAAATATATATAAGCTTACCATTTAGATATTTCTTCTTCGATACGCGGATGACGAAGTGAATATGGAGAAACTGATCTATTTTTTCTTCTATTTAACTTTGATATAATAGATGGAGTTTCTATATTTCGGATACTTTGATTAGATTGTAATGATAGTCTGCGACTTCGTAAACCAAGAGAATAAGTCTTTCCAGTTAGGATAGATAAATTATTGGATGATGAATGAGTTTCAGATATTTGTTTCATCTGTATATTTTTTAATATAAAAATAAAAGATGTAGATGAATTAATGAATATATTTGATGATATAGTTACAAGAAACCGGTGACTTGTTAAGTAACACTTACAAAATAAATCGAGGAACGACGTTATGTTCAATGGAAATAGATCTTTATTTCATGTAGTTGGAAAGTAAAATACAAAAATCACACTACCTATGATAGTTTACAATTAGAAAAAGAATTTCAAATTCCACTGATAGGCAACAATTTTATACGATTTTGTGTGATATGTTATAATAATGGCTTTATTTAATGCAAAAGATTTAGCTACAACAAAGAATTCTCAGCGCAAAACACTCAAGGTTGTAAGAAATACCACCCGTCCTCTACTGGTATTAATATACTTGTGAATATTCAAATGAACAGATCAAAAACCTTTTAACTCCCCATCAAAATCTTTCATCATACAATATATTTAATGTATAAACTACAATGTGGTAGTCTGCAGTCTCTTTAAAGAACAAACAAGAAGGTAAAAATACTAACTCTACAATAGGATTGCAGAACTTTCAGAAGAATATGTAAGTACATTCAATGGAACCGAATGGAAAACATTGTTTAAGATTAGCAGAATCTTTACTAAAGTAAAGAATGACTTATTATAATAGCAACACGAACATGCGTATGAACAGGATAACGCTTATTTCAATAATTTGCGCTAGTAATCGCACTACTGTAAGTTCGAAAAATAACGAAGGCAAGATAATTGAACAATTAACTGCAAAAAAAGCTAAGCTATCACAAAATTATTTTCATCGATACACATCACAAGATTCAGCAAATAAATTAACTCAATAATATCATTATATAGAAAAAACGGAATAACTAATTGAAAGGAAACATCAATCAAAAAGTAAAAAGAAGCTAAAATATATAAATCAAGTAAATCTCTTGACGGACAATCTTTGAAATCTGAAGCTTGTATCAGTTCACCCTCAGAATGACAAATGTCATGATCAAACTTCAAAAGCTCTTGATTAGGATGATTAGTGGATACATTACTTTGACGAATTTCAGATAACTCGGTAGTGATTTAGTCTGCCGAACAACACTTTTCAACAAGACATAAATAAATGCACAAAATTTGGAAGACTTTAGACAGTATATAAAACGATAGAAAAGGTACAACAAATAAAAAACAAGTATCCTTATACGTAAATTTGACTAAAGCCTAGTCAAAAATCTTAGCAAAAGATTGAGAATATAATTTTTTAACCAACAAATACTGAAAAAAAAGACAAAATATTTACATCGTTGTTTAAATGGACGATCATCAAAATTCAAAACAATAAATTAAATCATATAGTCAACTAAATATGAAACATTCAAACAATAATAACAACTACCTCACCTCACCAACTACCTGCCCGATATTCTCATTCTCAACAACTTTGGAATCCAGCGTCACCGACTCTGAACATTCTTTCCATGTCGAATTCGATACCATCTCATTATCCATGCATCCACCACCATTCAAACACTCCCCTGATTTCCTTATACCAGAGTTATTATTCTTCACATAGTCTGTTCTCTTACGAGTCCTAATCAGATCCACCTAAAAACATTCATCAATAAAAACATTTTACCCCTACAAACAATTTAATCACGAACATATTCACAAAATACTCATGTTGAACATTCCAAAACACAAAACTCTTCGTCACTTACTACTTCCTCTCCTCCAAACTCTCTCCCTCACACACTCTCCCATACAATCACCACGATCAAACAACAATGCTACTACAACCGTTTCATGATCATCACCGAACATGAACAACATCAAACTCATTCAATCTAACCACTCCTCATCTACCTACCTACCTACCTACCTACCTACCTACCTACTTACCTTGTGGTTCGATTGACGTGCATGACGTAAAAGTGACGTTCTATGGCGATAACTCAATGAACACATGTTACATTTGAAGGGAGTATCAGTTAAATTTTCATTCGAAACATCTTGTTCACTCGATGTTCCTGTTGTTGTCGTCGTCGTCATCGTTGTTGTTGCTGTTGTCGTCGTCGTTGCTTCTTCTGATGTCTCCAGTCCACTCGTCGATGGAGACATCCGATTCCTCTGTTCATCCTACACAAGTGAGGGATAGTTAGAACGGAATAACAGCCGTCATTACAAAAAAAACTTTACACACTTTTCATACTGTATCTATTTCCCTAATAAACAAACAAACACACACAAATTCAAAGTAAGTACTTACTTCAGTGGGGTTGTCCTGATGACATCCAGTCGAAAACAGATGTTCATCGGTACAATCATGTTGTGAGTCTTCTGAATTTACTAAAGCAGTCACATTCTTGTCTAACGTAGAAAGACCACAAGGATCCAGTGATTTATCACCTGAATTCATTGCAATTTCATTATTGTCTGTATCACCATTTGAATGTTGGTGATCAACCTGAATATGTGTTGAATAGATTGTAAAAATTAAAATAAATTAAATTATCACAACTATAGATGATTAGTTTAGAAGTACGGAACATTTAGTGCTACATAACGGCGACAAATGTTCAACACCGTATTGGACTATTTTATTGATAAGTTGAAACATAATCAGTAGATTTAGGATGTAAGTTAATTACGCTAGCCTGGAAGAATAAAAAAGGTGAAACTGAATTTTAAAAAATAAACTCACTACTGATTATTACTATGTTTTCACAAAATTTCAATATAAGAATGGAGTTCAAAATCAATAATTTTGGTATATTGGAAAATGGTCATCATTGAAAAAGGGGGGGGTGGTATTTGACATTGTTTATACGGAGAAAAACCGTTCATTACTAGGCGTTTAATAAACATAGCGAAACCAAGAACATTTGACAAAAGCTAACGGTGTCTATTTATTTATTTATGATGTAGTGAACGAGAATTCAGGTGGGGGAGACCAATTTATTGTTTAATACAAAATTACAGAGTACTTACGAAAAATATGAAAACCATACATTAAATACATAATTTCATACACATAGTTCCCTTTATTATCTTAAATAGAGCAAGAACAAAGATTGATGCAGAATAATATGAATTCATTTTATTTCGTTAGGTTCTCATCAGCTGCTTACAACCTAAATTATTTGAAATTCAACGTTTTCACTTTATAACTTTATTTATTTATTCGAATCAAACATTTTATGAGCTCATTAACTCTATTTGAATCTTCGCTACATCATCATACACATATATTGATCCTTAATCACACTCTTATGTATAAATATGTCAATATCTGTAATAATGTTGAATTTCAAATAATTTAGGTTGTAAGCAGCTGATGAGAACCTAACGAAATAAAATGAATTCATATTATTCTGCATCAATCTTTGTTCTTGCTCTATTTAAAATACATAATTTCCACATCTTCCATCAGTTGTCGTTTACATACTTCCTGATTCTTTCAATTCTCTTGTTATTACAATTAATTTCTGTTTCCCTTTCTGTTCATCCCAACTGGATCTTATCAATCTTTTGTTGGCATGCATTCCACTTCCGATTGGTGCTACATACTAGTTATATCTGTCAATATAAGTAGCATACACCATAATGACAGAATGCTTTTTGTAAGTAAAAAAGAATAAATTCATCACATAAAGTGAAGTGACAGTGCGTCGCATAAAACCAAAGTGGGGTCATATGAGAATAAAGACACCAAGAATTAAAGTGTATAGATCAATGAAAGATATAATTACAGTTTACTGTTTATGATAAACTCAAAAAGAGTAACGTCACATGGAGTGGTACACATTATTGCTGTGAGTCATGTCTCACAAATCCCCAAATCACTTACTTCGAATCCATGTTCAAAGTTGTGGTACATCAATTATGCTTAATCTATTACGTCTATCATTAATTCATTATCATTATACTGTTGGCTAACTTTCTGTTTTCTTTAACAAGTGTAAGCTCCAGTACATAATACTCCATATAGAAACCACAAGGACATGTATAATACGTGTTCACATTAGGAAAACTAGTGTTTATAAATGGCGTCACTGAATGAACGATGATTTCCGTTAAGAATAAACTCATGTTATGAAAATCGAGAAAACTGATGAAATGTATGTAATAAAAAAGTAGGCCAGCTTAAATGCCCACTTACAAAACAACTTAACCTAATGGAGATTCTTGTAACTTCATACAAGATAGTTTCGTGAACAGCATCCACCAGCTCTACAACTAACAATATGGTTAACAGTATTGGTCAATTGACATTTGACTTATTTGCAAACATCATTATTACGGTGTTGTAGTTATGAAGACCAGTTTGAAACTGATTTCAACAACCAAAAAAATGGTTGGATTTTTCCTTTACTTTCAAGTGAACTGGACCCAGCATAGCTCAACAAGTACAATAAACTCATATTATAATAAAACCCATACAATTTCTACTTCGTAGCACCTACACAACTATACTGAACAACGATTACTGAAGAACTGATGATACTGTTGCATAAAGCTAGTAGTGAAAGAGGATGATTTTATGATATGTTGAAGTATTATTGAGTTCGAACATGCCTTATATGTAACCTCTAATGTGCTAGGTTCATTGACGCAAGTAAGCGCTAGATACATTGTTTGAACCAAAACTATAAATTTACTAGCAATGATACAATAAGTTATCAGGTCAGAAACATAATCATTTAAGTACACAGGCCAAAACTATAAATTTATTTGATCGGTTTTGTAAGCCAATATTTCAGACTCGTGTTTCATCCTATATAAATGTAGAATTTGTCCACAAAAGTCTTGAAACATATTAGTGGCATGCGTAAAGCTCCTGTTTATTGCACATACATAGTAGCCAATTTTCGCCAACTACAGAGTATTATCAAGATGTTTCATCCGAAAAGACTTGTTTCTTACACTTACAATCAAGAAATTAACATCAAGCCCCAAAAACAACAACAACATTATCCAAATGTCAGTATCATTGCGTCCCACTCGAACTTAGCCGATCCAGTTTTTATAATTATAAAGCCGAACGAACTGATAGGTATTTGTTCCGACTTCATTACCAGTCTGAGAGGACGACTTAAACAACGCCGCCGATTGACAATCAGTTGTCCACTAGTTTAAATGGCAGTAGTTACTTAGTGAAATTCAACGTAGCTAATGTTTAATAACATATAATGATTTGGAGAATTTAATAACATCCTCTGGAATTAACTCCATTTTATCCAAATATTCTTGGCGGTCAAGTAGTACTACACCAGCTTCTTTGTCAGGTTTACTAAGGATTAAATCTTTATTTCGCAATATAGTAAGAATAACCTATTAACTAAGAACCACTTGGATCAGCTAATACGCCTTAAAAGAAATAAGGATTTAATCCATAGTAAACCTGACAAAGGAGCTGGTCTAGTACTACTTGACCGTCAAGAATATTTGGATAAAACGGAGTTAATTCCAGAGGATGTTACTAAATTCTCCAAACCTGAAGAAGTTGATAAAATATAATGATTTATTTCTACACCGATAGCTATCGGTTACAAACAAACATTATGGGTTAGTATAATACAACAGGTTACTTTACCGTATTAGAAAAGTCCTCAGAGGATTTTAACAGTTGATGAAAGCAATTTTAGCAGATACACCGAATGCTTCCACCTAAATCTATGATACCTTAATTGCCGCAAGTTCACCAGAAGAACTATGCACTCAAGATTAGTTTATTCCACAACATATGCAAACCGATAAATTACACGGATTAAAAATATGTCCACTCTGTTTATGCTTAATTAGATACCTAGGCTTTTGTCACCGATCTGAACCGAAGAACATTAGAGTCATGGAAAAATGAAGATATTTCAAAAAAATATCTTACGCTCGTTCTTGAGTCTATTTAGTAACTACTTTGTATATTCAAAATTTATGAATAAATGCATTGTTAAACCAACATCTGTTGGAACTGATCAACATATTGGTACAATGTTTTACAGAATTGAAAGCTATTTTGAAGTATATTGACAAAATACAATCCAAATGATCTCAACAATTGTTTGAAGTAATGCATTTATTTATGGTGCAGAGGCAGCGATCCTACTTAAACTCCGAAGTGACACAGAAAGGCAGCAACACACGAAAGCAGACCATAAACTTTAATGGAAATGATGAGCAGAAATCGAAGAAATACTACCATTGTTTATCACACCAGAATGCTTTAACAAATTAATTTATGAGAAACACTTCACTTTGTTATCGAAGCGAAAACCACTCAGTGCAGTATTCAGGTTGAATTTCCAAAACTTGGTAAATTTGGCCAAATATCTACACTAACATGGAACAGCCATTACGGAGCACGACTGAAAAGACAATATGTACCATAAACTCCATTAGTTCTAACAAAATTTCCAGTAGTAACTACCTTATAACAAACGAAGGCAGTTATTCCCAACGTTTCCGAAGACCGTGCAAACCACAGCTCCGACAATGCAGTGTAGAGCGCTCCGACTAGCAAAAGAATGAGAACGCTATATACAAAGACAAGTGACTACGAGTTATGCACTAAATACAGTAAAATAGTTATTAGTTCTTCAAGATGATCCACAATAGCTATTTGAATAGCAGTTTCTTTACACCATATAACGAGGAATGACAAGTTGTAATGTTGCCAAAACAGCAAAAACAATCACTACTCCAATTTTATTCAGGACGTACATTTCTGGTATGGTATTTAGTGTGTGCTATTCGCACCCAAAGATAGATTCGATTACACTGATAATAATATCAAGACCGTTGGATGATGATTTCGTCATCCTCTTCTGAAAACAATTGTGTCTGGCAAGGAGACACAAGTTCACAGTACGATTACTATCTAAATTCGGTGTCGAAAAGTCTATAACCAGATTCATTCATCAGCAAAGTCCAGGGGATAAATCAAAAAATCCCTAAACGCTTTTACACTGACACATTCTATTAGTCTCAACTAATCTATCAGAGTCATTTCAACTGACAAGAATACTCGCCACAAGACAGTGTATACCAAATTTGACTTTGAGTTTACATACGGAATTACAAATCGCAAAAACGAAAAACGAAGAGGTCAAATTGTAAGATAAACAAAAACATTTCAATTTAATACACGTTTTACTCACAAACCAGGAAGGCTTTCAAGATAAGCGATGAATATCGCATTAAGCATATTTACGACAATAGTAGTTTCATTAAAAACTTTGGAGAAAAGGGAATATAAAATATATGAATTATGTATCGGCTTCCAAACATTTAACTATACCGAAAACAATATGAAGTATTATTTACGAAATTCAATACTTACAAAATTGCGAAATATGAGTAAACTCACAAAACAATTCACCACCTGATTGTTAATATGGAAGATCATCAAAATTCACAACAATAAATTAAATCATATAGTCAACTAAATATGAAACATTCAAACAATAATAACAACTACCTCACCTCACCAACTACCTGCCCGATATTCTCATTCTCAACAACTTTGGAATCCAGCGTCACCGACTCTGAACATTCTTTCCATGTCGAATTCGATACCATCTCATTATCCATGCATCCACCACCATTCAAACACTCCCCTGATTTCCTTATACCAGAGTTATTATTCTTCACATAGTCTGTTCTCTTACGAGTCCTAATCAGATCCACCTAAAAACATTCATCAATAAAAACATTTTACCCCTACAAACAATTTAATCACGAACATATTCACAAAATACTCATGTTGAACATTCCAAAACACAAAACTCTTCGTCACTTACTACTTCCTCTCCTCCAAACTCTCTCCCTCACACACTCTCCCATACAATCACCACGATCAAACAACAATGCTACTACAACCGTTTCATGATCATCACCGAACATGAACAACATCAAACTCATTCAATCTAACCACTCCTCATCTACCTACCTACCTACCTACCTACCTACCTACCTACCTACTTACCTTGTGGTTCGATTGACGTGCATGACGTAAAAGTGACGTTCTATGGCGATAACTCAATGAACACATGTTACATTTGAAGGGAGTATCAGTTAAATTTTCATTCGAAACATCTTGTTCACTCGATGTTCCTGTTGTTGTCGTCGTCGTCATCGTTGTTGTTGCTGTTGTCGTCGTCGTTGCTTCTTCTGATGTCTCCAGTCCACTCGTCGATGGAGACATCCGATTCCTCTGTTCATCCTACACAAGTGAGGGATAGTTAGAACGGAATAACAGCCGTCATTACAAAAAAAACTTTACACACTTTTCATACTGTATCTATTTCCCTAATAAACAAACAAACACACACAAATTCAAAGTAAGTACTTACTTCAGTGGGGTTGTCCTGATGACATCCAGTCGAAAACAGATGTTCATCGGTACAATCATGTTGTGAGTCTTCTGAATTTACTAAAGCAGTCACATTCTTGTCTAACGTAGAAAGACCACAAGGATCCAGTGATTTATCACCTGAATTCATTGCAATTTCATTATTGTCTGTATCACCATTTGAATGTTGGTGATCAACCTGAATATGTGTTGAATAGATTGTAAAAATTAAAATAAATTAAATTATCACAACTATAGATGATTAGTTTAGAAGTACGGAACATTTAGTGCTACATAACGGCGACAAATGTTCAACACCGTATTGGACTATTTTATTGATAAGTTGAAACATAATCAGTAGATTTAGGATGTAAGTTAATTACGCTAGCCTGGAAGAATAAAAAAGGTGAAACTGAATTTTAAAAAATAAACTCACTACTGATTATTACTATGTTTTCACAAAATTTCAATATAAGAATGGAGTTCAAAATCAATAATTTTGGTATATTGGAAAATGGTCATCATTGAAAAAGGGGGGGTGGTATTTGACATTGTTTATACGGAGAAAAACCGTTCATTACTAGGCGTTTAATAAACATAGCGAAACCAAGAACATTTGACAAAAGCTAACGGTGTCTATTTATTTATTTATGATGTAGTGAACGAGAATTCAGGTGGGGGAGACCAATTTATTGTTTAATACAAAATTACAGAGTACTTACGAAAAATATGAAAACCATACATTAAATACATAATTTCATACACATAGTTCCCTTTATTATCTTAAATAGAGCAAGAACAAAGATTGATGCAGAATAATATGAATTCATTTTATTTCGTTAGGTTCTCATCAGCTGCTTACAACCTAAATTATTTGAAATTCAACGTTTTCACTTTATAACTTTATTTATTTATTCGAATCAAACATTTTATGAGCTCATTAACTCTATTTGAATCTTCGCTACATCATCATACACATATATTGATCCTTAATCACACTCTTATGTATAAATATGTCAATATCTGTAATAATGTTGAATTTCAAATAATTTAGGTTGTAAGCAGCTGATGAGAACCTAACGAAATAAAATGAATTCATATTATTCTGCATCAATCTTTGTTCTTGCTCTATTTAAAATACATAATTTCCACATCTTCCATCAGTTGTCGTTTACATACTTCCTGATTCTTTCAATTCTCTTGTTATTACAATTAATTTCTGTTTCCCTTTCTGTTCATCCCAACTGGATCTTATCAATCTTTTGTTGGCATGCATTCCACTTCCGATTGGTGCTACATACTAGTTATATCTGTCAATATAAGTAGCATACACCATAATGACAGAATGCTTTTTGTAAGTAAAAAAGAATAAATTCATCACATAAAGTGAAGTGACAGTGCATCGCATAAAACCAAAGTGGGGTCATATGAGAATAAAGACACCAAGAATTAAAGTGTATAGATCAATGAAAGATATAATTACAGTTTACTGTTTATGATAAACTCAAAAAGAGTAACGTCACATGGAGTGGTACACATTATTGCTGTGAGTCATGTCTCACAAATCCCCAAATCACTTACTTCGAATCCATGTTCAAAGTTGTGGTACATCAATTATGCTTAATCTATTACGTCTATCATTAATTCATTATCATTATACTGTTGGCTAACTTTCTGTTTTCTTTAACAAGTGTAAGCTCCAGTACATAATACTCCATATAGAAACCACAAGGACATGTATAATACGTGTTCACATTAGGAAAACTAGTGTTTATAAATGGCGTCACTGAATGAACGATGATTTCCGTTAAGAATAAACTCATGTTATGAAAATCGAGAAAACTGATGAAATGTATGTAATAAAAAAGTAGGCCAGCTTAAATGCCCACTTACAAAACAACTTAACCTAATGGAGATTCTTGTAACTTCATACAAGATAGTTTCGTGAACAGCATCCACCAGCTCTACAACTAACAATATGGTTAACAGTATTGGTCAATTGACATTTGACTTATTTGCAAACATCATTATTACGGTGTTGTAGTTATGAAGACCAGTTTGAAACTGATTTCAACAACCAAAAAAATGGTTGGATTTTTCCTTTACTTTCAAGTGAACTGGACCCAGCATAGCTCAACAAGTACAATAAACTCATATTATAATAAAACCCATACAATTTCTACTTCGTAGCACCTACACAACTATACTGAACAACGATTACTGAAGAACTGATGATACTGTTGCATAAAGCTAGTAGTGAAAGAGGATGATTTTATGATATGTTGAAGTATTATTGAGTTCGAACATGCCTTATATGTAACCTCTAATGTGCTAGGTTCATTGACGCAAGTAAGCGCTAGATACATTGTTTGAACCAAAACTATAAATTTACTAGCAATGATACAATAAGTTATCAGGTCAGAAACATAATCATTTAAGTACACAGGCCAAAACTATAAATTTATTTGATCGGTTTTGTAAGCCAATATTTCAGACTCGTGTTTCATCCTATATAAATGTAGAATTTGTCCACAAAAGTCTTGAAACATATTAGTGGCATGCGTAAAGCTCCTGTTTATTGCACATACATAGTAGCCAATTTTCGCCAACTACAGAGTATTATCAAGATGTTTCATCCGAAAAGACTTGTTTCTTACACTTACAATCAAGAAATTAACATCAAGCCCCAAAAACAACAACAACATTATCCAAATGTCAGTATCATTGCGTCCCACTCGAACTTAGCCGATCCAGTTTTTATAATTATAAAGCCGAACGAACTGATAGGTATTTGTTCCGACTTCATTACCAGTCTGAGAGGACGACTTAAACAACGCCGCCGATTGACAATCAGTTGTCCACTAGTTTAAATGGCAGTAGTTACTTAGTGAAATTCAACGTAGCTAATGTTTAATAACATATAATGATTTGGAGAATTTAATAACATCCTCTGGAATTAACTCCATTTTATCCAAATATTCTTGGCGGTCAAGTAGTACTACACCAGCTTCTTTGTCAGGTTTACTAAGGATTAAATCTTTATTTCGCAATATAGTAAGAATAACCTATTAACTAAGAACCACTTGGATCAGCTAATACGCCTTAAAAGAAATAAGGATTTAATCCATAGTAAACCTGACAAAGGAGCTGGTCTAGTACTACTTGACCGTCAAGAATATTTGGATAAAACGGAGTTAATTCCAGAGGATGTTACTAAATTCTCCAAACCTAAAGAAGTTGATAAAATATAATGATTTATTTCTACACCGATAGCTATCGGTTACAAACAAACATTATGGGTTAGTATAATACAACAGGTTACTTTACCGTATTAGAAAAGTCCTCAGAGGATTTTAACAGTTGATGAAAGCAATTTTAGCAGATACACCGAATGCTTCCACCTAAATCTATGATACCTTAATTGCCGCAAGTTCACCAGAAGAACTATGCACTCAAGATTAGTTTATTCCACAACATATGCAAACCGATAAATTACACGGATTAAAAATATGTCCACTCTGTTTATGCTTAATTAGATACCTAGGCTTTTGTCACCGATCTGAACCGAAGAACATTAGAGTCATGGAAAAATGAAGATATTTCAAAAAAATATCTTACGCTCGTTCTTGAGTCTATTTAGTAACTACTTTGTATATTCAAAATTTATGAATAAATGCATTGTTAAACCAACATCTGTTGGAACTGATCAACATATTGGTACAATGTTTTACAGAATTGAAAGCTATTTTGAAGTATATTGACAAAATACAATCCAAATGATCTCAACAATTGTTTGAAGTAATGCATTTATTTATGGTGCAGAGGCAGCGATCCTACTTAAACTCCGAAGTGACACAGAAAGGCAGCAACACACGAAAGCAGACCATAAACTTTAATGGAAATGATGAGCAGAAATCGAAGAAATACTACCATTGTTTATCACACCAGAATGCTTTAACAAATTAATTTATGAGAAACACTTCACTTTGTTATCGAAGCGAAAACCACTCAGTGCAGTATTCAGGTTGAATTTCCAAAACTTGGTAAATTTGGCCAAATATCTACACTAACATGGAACAGCCATTACGGAGCACGACTGAAAAGACAATATGTACCATAAACTCCATTAGTTCTAACAAAATTTCCAGTAGTAACTACCTTATAACAAACGAAGGCAGTTATTCCCAACGTTTCCGAAGACCGTGCAAACCACAGCTCCGACAATGCAGTGTAGAGCGCTCCGACTAGCAAAAGAATGAGAACGCTATATACAAAGACAAGTGACTACGAGTTATGCACTAAATACAGTAAAATAGTTATTAGTTCTTCAAGATGATCCACAATAGCTATTTGAATAGCAGTTTCTTTACACCATATAACGAGGAATGGCAAGTTGTAATGTTGCCAAAACAGCAAAAACAATCACTACTCCAATTTTATTCAGGACGTACATTTCTGGTATGGTATTTAGTGTGTGCTATTCGCACCCAAAGATAGATTCGATTACACTGATAATAATATCAAGACCGTTGGATGATGATTTCGTCATCCTCTTCTGAAAACAATTGTGTCTGGCAAGGAGACACAAGTTCACAGTACGATTACTATCTAAATTCGGTGTCGAAAAGTCTATAACCAGATTCATTCATCAGCAAAGTCCAGGGGATAAATCAAAAAATCCCTAAACGCTTTTACACTGACACATTCTATTAGTCTCAACTAATCTATCAGAGTCATTTCAACTGACAAGAATACTCGCCACAAGACAGTGTATACCAAATTTGACTTTGAGTTTACATACGGAATTACAAATCGCAAAAACGAAAAACGAAGAGGTCAAATTGTAAGATAAACAAAAACATTTCAATTTAATACACGTTTTACTCACAAACCAGGAAGGCTTTCAAGATAAGCGATGAATATCGCATTAAGCATATTTACGACAATAGTAGTTTCATTAAAAACTTTGGAGAAAAGGGAATATAAAATATATGAATTATGTATCGGCTTCCAAACATTTAACTATACCGAAAACAATATGAAGTATTATTTACGAAATTCAATACTTACAAAATTGCGAAATATGAGTAAACTCACAAAACAATTCACCACCTGATTGTTAATATGGAAGATCATCAAAATTCACAACAATAAATTAAATCATATAGTCAACTAAATATGAAACATTCAAACAATAATAACAACTACCTCACCTCACCAACTACCTGCCCGATATTCTCATTCTCAACAACTTTGGAATCCAGCGTCACCGACTCTGAACATTCTTTCCATGTCGAATTCGATACCATCTCATTATCCATGCATCCACCACCATTCAAACACTCCCCTGATTTCCTTATACCAGAGTTATTATTCTTCACATAGTCTGTTCTCTTACGAGTCCTAATCAGATCCACCTAAAAACATTCATCAATAAAAACATTTTACCCCTACAAACAATTTAATCACGAACATATTCACAAAATACTCATGTTGAACATTCCAAAACACAAAACTCTTCGTCACTTACTACTTCCTCTCCTCCAAACTCTCTCCCTCACACACTCTCCCATACAATCACCACGATCAAACAACAATGCTACTACAACCGTTTCATGATCATCACCGAACATGAACAACATCAAACTCATTCAATCTAACCACTCCTCATCTACCTACCTACCTACCTACCTACCTACCTACCTACCTACCTACTTACCTTGTGGTTCGATTGACGTGCATGACGTAAAAGTGACGTTCTATGGCGATAACTCAATGAACACATGTTACATTTGAAGGGAGTATCAGTTAAATTTTCATTCGAAACATCTTGTTCACTCGATGTTCCTGTTGTTGTCGTCGTCGTCATCGTTGTTGTTGCTGTTGTCGTCGTCGTTGCTTCTTCTGATGTCTCCAGTCCACTCGTCGATGGAGACATCCGATTCCTCTGTTCATCCTACACAAGTGAGGGATAGTTAGAACGGAATAACAGCCGTCATTACAAAAAAAACTTTACACACTTTTCATACTGTATCTATTTCCCTAATAAACAAACAAACACACACAAATTCAAAGTAAGTACTTACTTCAGTGGGGTTGTCCTGATGACATCCAGTCGAAAACAGATGTTCATCGGTACAATCATGTTGTGAGTCTTCTGAATTTACTAAAGCAGTCACATTCTTGTCTAACGTAGAAAGACCACAAGGATCCAGTGATTTATCACCTGAATTCATTGCAATTTCATTATTGTCTGTATCACCATTTGAATGTTGGTGATCAACCTGAATATGTGTTGAATAAATTGTAAAAACAGCATTCACTAAGTGGAATTTAAAGATAGCTAATAAATTTTTATTCTCAGAAATTCTCATGGATTTAAGCAAATCCATATTTGAACGTTTCATTTTGGTTAAGCTGTTATAAAAAATGGAAAATACTCATGTTTATTATTTTGTTACGTTATTTCTAAAAATCTTTCCTTTCGAAGACTTATTTTAAAACAGAATAACGAGTTTTTTTATAGAAGATAAATAAATACCTTTACAAACGCAATCATTTCAGAAATGTAATACGGGTGACGATTTTGCAGAGAATACTGTTACTTAGATAACTTTTTTTTGCTTTAAATTTTGATTATGTATATATAAATACAGAATTTCGATGGAAAGGCAAAATCGGGTTGAAGTACACGTCCAAGTTACTTTCTCTAAAATATACAGGAACATCCACCTCATTACACTTTACGTAACATCGATTCTTTTTACATGCCAGCAAAGAAATCAACAAACTTGTAGACTTAGTTTAGACAGTCCTAAAGTTGTATGTAAACTGTCTTTTGGTTTTAATGGGCAGTGAAACTGTTCAAATATATCTAAGAATTGTAGCCCCACTCCTATTTCGTGATTCATAAGTTTATGGTTTACCTCTTATTCACCAAACTTTAATGTGAAAAAAAATATTAATAATCTGATGAGATTATATGCTAAATTTAAAATTTGTTAACGATTTTAACGGTTGGATGAATAAAGTTTCTTATGAGCAGTGATTATAAGCATAAAGAATGTACATAATTTATAGTAGACTCGAAGAATTTCGCAGCCTACTATGACAAAGTGAAGGTACAGTGAATGTATTACAGAAGAAAATCACCTTAACTTTATACAATTGTCCATACTTTAAAAAGTTAGCATCAAATGAGTACATAACCTCAATACAGTTCTCTAACAATAAGTCAAAGTCTCACAACTGTATCGTTTACTTTACAAGGTAATAGAATGATAAACCCGGGACTGTTATTTTTCTGCTTGTAACAACAGATCATAACAATAAAATAATTGACTTGGAGATGAATTCTCGTGAAAATCTCTTACCTTGTGGTTACATTTATGCCGCTTAAATGATTTTCGGAACCGAAAAACTTTATGACAATGAGAACATTCGTGGCATGACTGAATAACAGTCGGGCTCGACACTGGAATTTGAACTTCATTTTCAGTTACACAATTATCAACATTTTGATGATGAGATATTAGAGGGGAAGAGATCTTTTTATCAATCTTAGGTAATAAAAGGAACCGAAATACATGGGAAACACAACTTTAGTGAAGGATGCTGAGATACAATCTTGAGCACTTTAATGCCAGGATGAGTTTGAAAAATTACAGCACAAGTTACATATATAGTGATATTTAAAAATAACTGCCGTAAGTAGATAGGAGTTAAAAACATATTAAGCGTCCAGATTAAATGACATTGTAAATAATTGAATAAGCATATCTACTAAATAGTAAATCAAGATTAACCAATCTTGTATTATGTACTTCTTAGTGACGACTCAAATTTAGTGATTACGTTTAGAAATAAAAACTTCATCCAACTCTGGAAAAAATTTACCACAGTCCAAATGGCATACTTTGAATAGTTCTGAAGGATAAGGTAAGTGGTGTAAGTTTCAAACTCAAAGAGAACATTATCGCTTTTGAATTAGCATATTCGTCTAGCTCAGAAGTCCCACCTGCGAAGACGACCAATCACAAACAAGACTGTCAACATGAACTGATTTTTGTATTCGAAAGAGGGAGAAATCTGTCCCACACATTTACCAATATTGAAGCATATAAATATATAAATACAATAGCAAAAAAGAGATAAACGGTCAAAACTGCATACCTTATTAAGCTCAGTATTCGAAATTCCACCCTTGAATAACTCTTTTCTTAAATTCTTCAACTGTGGTGTCACCTTGTGAGTAGGCGTAAACACAAAATGAAATTCGCGTTTATTTCTCCGTACAGCAGGCTTTGGTTTTGGGGTACTGCGCTGTAAAATAAGAAATAATATACCCTTCGTTTTCATTGCGAATTATAACTGATCAAAAGAATCTATTGAGCGCAAAACGCCTATAAAATTTCAACGTATATTGAACAACGTTATTACACAAATTCCACAATCATAAACACGCTAAATGATGATAAAGTAGGTTATGTACGTGGGTCATAAATATTCCAACGACTTACCGTACTTAGTGAAATCCTAGCCTTACAAGAGGCTATATGTCTAGAAAAGTTTGAACGATTATGGATCACACGATAGCAAAATGAACATGTATAAGGTCCACTGTAAGATGGTCTGTAATTTTGCCAAATATTTTCATCGGACTATAATAAAGAGACATAGGTACTATAAAATAAAGTTATCAAGTATGAACCAGGTAAAAGCACTAAAAGGGCAAACAACTTTCCCCTAAGTCTAAAACAAAAGTCCTCCCCCTAAAACACATCACTACATCAAAACAGGAACTTAAACGATAATTTCCTAAGAACGATTCTTTGATAAAAACTATCAAGAAGTTGGAACGATTTCAAAATGCCTATTGGTGAATGAGTATGACAATACCACTGCGAAAGTTACATGTAGGGGGTTAAATAAACTATATAAGGTACACATTTATCCGAGGGAATTAATGACAAAATCACGTTATTGAAAGCATATTAAGCGAGACATTCGAATCCATGACATAGCGGGTGATGGAGAAATACTTAAAATTACTCTGCCATAATTAATCTGATTAAAAACAACTATACTTGGAAAAGGATAAATATGTTATACTAACTATTTAACATCAGTTGAATAAATATTCCCAGTTGATATCAGTCTGACAATAACCTGTCCACTAAAATTATCGCCTCAATCTATTAATAGCATAATGACATATGCTATTCAATAATTTTCAAAAATAGAAGCAAACACCTATTTAGTGCTCAACTTCTAATAATATTTTTGCATAATTCTAATTAGTGAGAAACACTTAGATAAATCTTGATTTCCAAATCTAACATTTTAACTCATACTAGAAATAATATATCGTCATAAGGGAAATAAAATGCACGTTATAAACATACTTCATATGGTTCATTATTATTAGAAGATAAATTATTTTCTGAACGTTTTGTGACTAAGTGAGAATCAAATGTATTAGTAGTTAAGGTATTACGATCTGTTTTTAATGAATCATCAGAATTAATAAATGGATTAGTAGTGGTAGACAGAAAAGGAGTGATTGGATTTGATTTTGAGTCAACATCATGATTCATCTTTGGATTATTCTATAAATAAAAAAACGGAAAATAGGTTTGAGAAAATAAATAAATTACATATTTGTTAAAAACAAATTCTACCAGATCAAAAATGTTTCCTTGAAAACTTTGATGGTTAAGACAAAATAACTAATAAGCACGATACCTAAGTAGTATGACTTGCCTCCACCTATCATCTGAAACCTTCTACACCTAATGTGAGGACGGTTAATCCAATGATCAACTAACTCCTGGCAATATAACTAATACACATCACAAAGAATGATGCATTAGATGTATATTAGTTACGAGCATCCTCTCCTAACGACATGGTACGGCTTAGGGTAAAAAGTTCACTCTTCCTCATCCGCTCTCATACCCCGACGTGTTTATAGCCTCTGTCAGAGAAGTTTTAATCAGACCTCCACGCAGTGAGACTGTCTACTTTATGTCATAATTAGACAACTATCCCAATAGTAAAAACCATTTTTACATGATTGAAATTATTATTATTATTATATATATTATATTCTTATTATATAACTCAACTACAAATAAGACTTTTTTCGTATCAATGTACAAATGATCATGTGTTTATAGTTCCCAACAATAAAAGCCTTTCTCAGTACCTGCACTAGGTGGCATCTTTTATGAGAAATAGAAAGCGAAAAGACAACGTTCGGCGATTAAGTTTAATTGATAGATACAGAAGATTTACCTAGAAGTTGAAAAACTATGATTGCAAAACGGTGGTGTATATGAGCTCTAGAATCCTGACGAAACGAATGGGGTATGAACCTATTTTTGGTTAACGACTGCTATGGGGATGCATCTGATGAAGTTGTCCGACTGCCTTGTGGACTAGATCTTGAAGCTAAAGGTTTGACGAATGTCCCTAACCGCGAGAAAACTAACTGCTTCACTTTGAGCTTCAGAGTAATATCTCAGTTCACATAGAAATTTTATGTGTAGCGCACATCATTTTTAGTGTTCAGTTATACCAAATTTTATGAGAGGTATATCAAGAATTCAACGAAATATAATACAATTTTTACTGAAAAGAAGAAGGAATAAAACACTAACTTGATATGAATTTTCAGGGGAGTTTTTATCCTTTTTTATAGTATTTTCTATTTCGTCTGAATGTCCGTTTTGAAGAGTCTGATTTGCTTGACAAATAACTCCATTACTTATTGATATTTCTTCATCGACATTATTAACTAGATTAGGGCTTCCCGATGAAATCGATGAAGACTCATACATTCGACCAATTTCGTGTAATTTTTTCTTTGTTAACTAAAGTTTCATTAGCGAAAAAAAGATAGGTCATATTTGCATGTTTTAAGAAATGGAAGAACAGGTTGTATATTGACAATCGAAATTAGACCATAAATCTGAAATGAACAAAATACCAATGCAACTTCAACACTGACACACGGTTATTTCCTTTGTTTCCCTGACCCTAGGAATTTAGTTGTGTTTTTCTTCAATTTTACAATTTATTTAGTGCATTAAAAATATATCATGAACCTAGAAACCATATACCCTGTAACAACTTTTCTTTATTTGCTATCTAGATTGTAATAGGGTCCTAAACTTTGTTAGGTTAGCACTCTATCCTTACATTATTAAGTGCAGAACATACTACAGTAAAAATAAACTATAACAAGTGAAATCTCTGCAACTAATTTTCAAATCCCAACACATACTACGTAGATAAGCAATCGCAAACGAAAGTTTAACGTACAAAAAACTTTTTTTTCTATCTTAAAAGCAGATGTGATGGGTTTAAACTAATAAATAATCCAATCACTTGGTGAGTTGATTGTGAGAATTGAATTTAGAAATTCTGTGTTCTAAAAACACTAAACCATTGCCAACAGGAAAAAATAGCTTTATACATCGGAATCGAGTTAAAATATCAAACCAGTTATCTAAATGGATCAAATACAAAAAATGATAGGGAAAACAATTTAAAACACTACATAAAAGTTTAACAGTCCATATGGTTACACATTAAAACAAAAAAGAAAATCATAGTTTTAAGATATATAGAAAAATTCGAGTTTGAAGAGAACAGTGATAAAACATTTAAGATCTGAAGGAAGATAAAGTGTTAATTTATTTGTATTATAGTGATTGATTTTGAAAGATGACAAGCAATATTTTCAGTCCCTGAATTATTTAGCATTCATGAAGGTAGTGATGATACAACATAAACGAAAACCATCAGACGAAATTAGACCATTCGTTAGCAAAGCAAAACATTCAAAGAAAAGTTAAGTTAAGCTTAACAAAAACACTCAGTAGTTACCCCTACATTTTCTACTATTCATCAATGTAATGAATAAGGTGCTTCTTTAACAACCCTAGAACTACTAAGTACATGATATTATGTACCGCCCTACAGTAAAGACTGTTGAACAGTAAGCTTGGTAAATGGTTCTTTGAAGAATAATTCATTTACGATGATAGTTACCTTATAAGCACAAATGTCTCGTAATAACACAAAAAGGGAACGTTTTATAGGCTGACCATCACTAGTGATTACATCACATTATATATAACAACCCAAGAATACAAAGGCGGTGTCAAACAAAATCAATGTCACCAATGACAAAAGAAATTTCCACATATAAAAGCAGCTAATAAGATCTATTTAGTTAGCCCTCAAATGCCCTGGTATGGCCGAGAGTGGGGTGGGCCCGCCCTCCCTCTCCAAATGCTCTAACATGGCCGCGCGTATACAGCACCTGTCAGGGAAGTCCTACTCACTGCCTTCTCGTGGCGGGGTGTTGTTCACGAAAATGAGAGGACGAAAAGCGAATGTCTGGCGCTTTAACCGGATCCCAAACCAATGGTGCACATGGGCTCCAGCATCCTGAGGGAATAAATGGCGTATGACCCAACCGTTGGTCACCGGCTACCATGGGACTGCATCTCCTCACAATGCTCTACTGCCTTGTGGGTCAGACCTTTAGGTCAAAGGCTCGGGGTGTGACCCTCTAAGAAAACCACCTGCTTCGGTCTGGGCACCCGGGTAGTATCACAGCCCACATACAAATATGATGAAATGCCGATATTTGTGGAAAGTACTTGTCTTGCTTCGATTAACAATCAAACGATTCACATTATTATTTTTTACGTCATTTATTCACTCCCTTTTACTCTCACTTTGTGTATCCTTATTTTTCCACTTATACAGCAGCTCGCCTATGGTGGAAACTCGGTTTTGTCTTAACGTTCTCGAGTCACTGTCCGGTTGAAAATTGTATGCCGCCACCAAATACGAATACTGAAGCAGTTTTCCTGAAACCACGTGCACCATTCAAACTGGTTACCTTCAACGTTCGTACAATAATGCAGATCGGAAAACAGATAGGGCTGGCTATGTCTTTGGAAAGTCTTAACATCGACGTTTGTTGCCTATCCGAGACCCGTATTCAAGACTCTGCTGAAGTATTACAAATTCACTCTCCATCTGTCGCTTCAAAAAGCCTGTTTTATGTGTGTTTATTCGAGGTCCCTGTGGTATCTTCGTCTGGTCTTGCTGGCGTTGGTGTCGCACTAAGCGCTGAGGCAGCACTAATTGTTTGGATCCCCATTAACAGCCGATTATGTGCTGTTAGGTTAGAAAGTTCCATCAAAGTGAGAAGAAATCGGTGTGAGAAACGATGTCTTTTCGTCATCTCCGCCTATGCCCCGACAGATTGCAGCCCGGATGCAATCGAGGATGAATTCTACCACCAGTTAACTGTTCTCCAGAAAGTGCGTTCGATAGATATTGTAGTACTAGCGGGAAACTTGAATGCTCAGGTCGGGCGTCTAGGCACAAAAGAGAATCGTTTAGGTGGCCGATGGAGACTTGTTGGTCGCGGGACAGATGACGAGGACCGTCTACTGCAACTGTGCACAGACCACAACCTGTTTCTGGCTAGCACTAACTTTCGGCACAGTCATCGCCGATGTGCCACTTGGCGTCCTTCCTCTGCATCTCAGGCCTGGACTCAGATTGATCACATCGCGATCAGCTACCGCTGGCGTGGTTGTGTACAAGAATGCAGCTCCTTTTGGAGTACATATCTGAACTCTGATCATGCCCTGGTCTGTGCCAATCTTACCTTACTTTTCAGTGGCCAACGAAGTGACCGCCAGCAAAGGATTGATGTCAGCAAGTTGGTTGCAACTTCCGTTGCAACTAAGTATCGAGTCGAGCTAGCTTCTAGACTAGCTACCATTCCACCAAAAATATAGATGAGCATTGGTTGCAACTTCATGACGCCATGAAAATGGCGGGTACAGTCAGTTGTGGGTTCGCGAAACGTCCCACTTATAAGCACTAGGTTTCTCTTTGCTCCTTACAACTCAATGAAGCCCGTCGGTCTACTCCGGGTGACCGTGAGTTTGATCACAAACGAAGGCTGTTACGCAATGAAATCGGGCAAAGCTTGCGTAAGGACCGAGAAGCCTGGTGGTCGAAGCGTGCTAATGCGTTGGGAGTAGCAGCTGCATCTGGTAACTGCCGGTAGCTCTTTCAACACATCCGAGCCACTGGCAGCAAGAAGTCTGGTGTAAGCGAAACAATCTGTGAGGATGACGGAATGCCAATCACTAACATCCATCGACGTCTTGGACGATGGGCAGAATTTTTCGAAGGGCAGTTCAACTGGCCTGCTCCTCCGGCAACATCGGTTAGACTGTCCTGCCCTCCATGGCCGGTGACGACTGATCCATCCATCCGCAGGGAACTATAACTCTCGAAGCGCTACAAATCACCGGGCCCAGATGACTTACCTCTGGCGCTTTTTAAAGTTGGTGATGACTTTCTGGCTAAGGAACTGACGACGTTGTTTACAAAGGTCTGGGAGCTAGAGAGCGTACCAATGTCATGGAATGAGTCGATAGTTGTCCCTATCTTTAAAAAGGGTTCACGTCGTTCCTGTAACAACTATCGGGGGATAAGTCTACTTCCGATTGCGTCCAAACTATTGGCTTCCGTCATACTTCGTACGTTGTTCAAAACCCGAAAAAGATTGACTCGCGAGGAACAGGCTGGGTTTCATTCTAGTCGAGGATGTATTGATCATATCTTCACCCTCCGCCAAATGTTAGAACACCGCCATACTTATCAAAGGCCAACAATCGTAGTGTTTCTTGACATCAGGCTGCCTTCGATTCGTTGGACAGGGCTGTTCTCTGGGATTGTCTATTGAAGAAGGGTGTGCCTGAGAAGTTTATTAACATCCTAAGAGCCCTATATAAAAACACCTCAGGCAGAGTGAGGGCATACAACCACCTTTCTCCATTGTTCCATTCGAGTAGTGGGGTTAGACAGGGTTGCCCAATCTCACCATTCCTCTTCAACTTTGCCATCGATGACATTCTGGAAACAGCTCTGATGAATGTAAGTAATGGTGGTGTGGATCTGTTGCCTGGAGAAAGACTTTTCGACCTTGCGGATGATATTGTCTTACTGTGCGATAATGCCCAAGGCATTCAATCTGCACTTAATCAGTTGGCAATCAGTGTCCGTAGGTACGGTATGTGCTTTGCACATTCGAAGTGCAAAGTACTTCTACAAGACTGGCAGGATTCTAATCCTGTACTCACTCTGAATGGTGAGCAGATAGAAGTAGTTGAGAAGTTCGTGTATCTAGGTAGCTGCATAAGTGCTGGTGGTGGCGCGAGTGATGAGATCAATGCACGTATAGTGAAAGCCAGAGCGGCTTATGCCAATCTGGGCCATCTTTGGCGCCTTCGTGATGTCAGTCTGGTTGTAAAAGGTCGGATCTACAACGCGTCGGTGAGAGCAGTTTTGCTCTATGCCTGTGAAACCTGGCCTCTTCGAGTTGAGGACGTTAGACGACTCTCTGTGTTCGATCATCGCTGTCTCCGAAGGATTGCTGACACCCAGTGGCAACACCATGTTAGGAATGCAGAGGTTCGGCATCGTGTGTTCGGGCACAGAGATGATAATGCAATTGGTGTCACCATCTTGAAACACCGACTTCGGTGGCTTGGACATGTTCTACGAATGTCGTCCAAGCGAATTCCACGGCGTGCATTATTTGCTGACTCTGGGACTGGTTGGAAAAAGCGGAGAGGTGGTCAGTGCATGACATGGTGTCGTGGCATGAAAGAAAGCTGCAAAGGACTGGCTTGTGTTGGTCCTTCACGACTCCCTGGTTGGGGTCTGAGAAATGGTGCTACACAGTGGCTAGAGACGTTATCAGATATGGCTCAAAATAGAAGCCAGTGGCGATCCTGCTGTAACCTTCTTTTACTTTCTTCATAAAAAATGGTTGTGTCTCCCTTACCTGAAAGATTTCTTCTGATTGTACCTTTCCGTTCCCTCATTACTACCACACTACCTTACACCAATCTGTTTGTTATTGTTCTTTTTTACGCTCCTTACCTTTTTTTCTCTTCGAATACTCACTGTTTTGTGTGGCGAATATATATTTGGTGACGCCTTGAACCAATATTTATATATTCAAATAAAGAAATGATAATAATAAGTCAACAGGTTGAACAGTTCATACTACTTTGTCTCATATACTACCCATGACTAGGAAATCAAAGCTTAAGAACCTTATTCTTTAACAAAAATAAAGCATTGTAAGCAATAATAAAAATCAGTTATTTATTTCTGGTGATACTTACGTTTTTTGGAGCCAACCGACAAGCAATCATGTGCTTTAGTCGATATCGTTTTTCTGAGAATGGGCGCGTGCAGTACAAACATTGAAAAACAGACTTGTTAGCCAAATTACTTTGATTTTGAGTTGAGATAAGCTCCTCCTATGTGGGTAGATAAGATGAAAGTGATAAATAATATTATTATAACTAAGTTTAAAACAAAACAAAGTGCACTTATTCAAAAACATAACCGACCATATCCACCATTAGGGTTTGTCTACTGTGACGAACCAGTCGACCTATATTTGTTGAAACACTCGTCTGTTTTATGTCCTACCGAGCCATGTAGGTTTGTTGAGAAGCAGTAAGATAAAAGGCAGCAATTAAAACTACCAGGATGGAACAGCACTGTTGAGTGTATTGAGGTGTGAGGGCGGTAAGGCATTTTCTTCAATCAACATATAGAACGATGTCCTTTGGGTTACCAGATGGTCAAGTTCACTACTAATTCAGTCCCTGAAGACGTATTCTTCCACGGTGTAGGTAACCGGAAAGTGATGACCACCTACGTATCTCTAACAGAACCTGATATTACATTGTTAGCGATCAAATCCCGTTCCAGCTATCGACCCTTCTGTGTCTCTGGAAACGCTTCTGTTGATTGCGGTTCAAACGAAGCAGCAGATTAACCTTAGATGAAACCTCTTGGTCTTAGGAATGCTGGAAGCTGAAGTGAAGCAATCGTACCATATGATTCGATTGCTAGTTCTCGTGAACTGGCGATGTAGACATAGCACTAAGTACGAGAGCAGGACAGGCACTATAAGAATGGATACCCGTTAACAGTCGCATATGTGCTGTTTGGCTAGACGGCTCCGTAAAATTTCGAAAGGATAGGCGCACACGTCGTTGAATTTCGTCGTTTCTGCCTACGCTCCCACTGACTGCAGCTCAGATGAAGTGAAAGGTGAATTACGCAGAAAGCTATCTGAACTTCTTCAGAAAACTAAACGTTCAGACATAGTACTCGTAGCAGGTGACTTCAGTGTTCAAGTAGGTAGCTGAAACCAAACAGAAAGACATTTAGGTGGGTATTTTAGTATTCCGACACAACGAACAGATAATGGTGATCGTCTGCTGCAACTGTGCTCAGACAATCGTTTATTTTTAGCAAACACAAATTTTAAGCATAAGGACAGACATCGTCTAACATGGCGACCCCCTACACCAAACCAACGATGGATTCAAATAGACCATACTGCCACCAGTCATCGTTGGTGAGGGTCGGTAGAAGATTGTCGCTCATTCTGGAGTACCTGCTTGGACTCCGACCAAGCCTCAACACGGGCACGCACCTTCTTGTGCTTCACTGGACGCAAAAAAGCCACACTAAAAACACCCATCAGAATGGAATTGAGTAGCGAGAAAACTTAAATTAGTTTCCAGTAACAACTGAGGTCACACTTAGGTAGTTCTGAAAACGAGGCTGACCCAGATGTTTTTTGGAAAGATATACAAACAGCAGTGACATCTGTTAGTGGTTTAAACCAAGAGGTTACAAAAAACCAATGGATTTCTTCTAAGTCTATTCCACTGACGGATTCTCGTAAATTCATCCCATCAGGTTCTAAACACGAAAAGCGAAAGCGAATCAGATCTAGGTCAAGCAAAAATCTAACGAACGGCCGTGAGCAGTGGTGGGCTACGAAAGCAAGAGATAGAAAAGGCAGCGGCTATAGGGAACACAAGACAACTCAATAGACTAATAAAAGAAACTGGAATTAATAAGTCAAATGTAAGACTATCTCGGAAAAAGACGACACTTATCTGCTCCCAGTCTAGACGTTTAGAACGACGGGAGGAACATTTTAAGGAGCAGTTCAGCTATCTTCAGCTACTCTACAACTATCCACCATTCCCAGATAGCGTGGATGGAACACTGAAGTAGGTCCCCCGGCTCTATCTGAAGTTCAAAAGGCAGATGAATTGGCTCCAGAGGTCTTTAAGAATAATGGTCCAATTTTAGCTATTAGGTTGACTAATATTTTAGCTAAAATCTGGGAGTTGAACGTAATACCATCTAACTGGTCACAATCACTGAGTGTCTTAATATATAAGAAAGGGTCAAAATCATCCTGTGATAACCCTACAGAGATTAGTTTGACTAGCATAGTATCTGAAATACTAGGCTCGTTAATTATCGGCCGCCTAACTAAGACTCGTGAACTAACTGCAAACACGGGAATATCAAGCTGGCTTCAGACCTGGTCGTGGCTGCACTGACCACACATTCACCATTCGTCAGGTCCTAGAACACAGGCATACTTATCGGCGTCCGACAATGGCGGTTCTTCCTAACTTAAAAGTAGCATTTGACTCGGTAGACCGAGAGATTCTATGACTGTCTGTCGTTGAAAGGTGTACCTCAGAAGTACACAAACCTTGTGAAGGCTCTTTACTCGAACACTGCTAGTGGAGTGAGAGCTCATGGCGAACTGTCATCTACTTTTGCAACCTCAAGTGGTGTCCGTCAAGGCTGTCCACTTTCTCCATTTTTGTTTAATTTCATCATAGATCTACTGATGGAAATAACATTTTCGTCGATTGAATTCTCGGGTATTGATCTCCTTCCAGGAGGTCCACTTATCGACTTAGAATACGCAGATGACATAGTCCTGTTTGGTGAAGACGCTGATAAAATGCAGTCTTTTGGTAGAACTAAGCAACAATGCCAGAATGTTTGGAATGCGCTTCTCTCCCTCTAAATGTAAGTTGTTGCTTCAGGACTGGTCTGCGTCAACACCTGAACTAAGGATAGGGAGTGAAGTAGTCGAACATGTTGACAAGTTCACTTCTGTTGGAAGTTTGATCAGCCCTAATGGTTTGGTGTTTGACGAAATCTCAGCACGGATTCAAAAAGCTCGTTTGGCTTTTGCCAACTTACGTCACCTAAGGAGAAGGCGAGATATCCGTCTATCAATAAAAGGACGAGTATACTGCGCGGCAGTTCGTTCCGTTCTACTTCACGGCTGCGAAACATGACCATTAAAAGTAGAAGACACTCGTAAGCTACAAGTATCTGACCACAGATGCCTTAGGAATATTGCCGGCGTCTGCTGGGATCACCGGCTAAGTAACAGTGAGGTTAAACGCAGGGTATTAGGAAATGATGATAAATCAGTTGATGAGGTTGTGAATCTTCATCAACTGAGAAAGTTGGGCCGCGTGTTACGTATGCGTGAACACCGATTACCACGATGTGCAATGCTAACCGGTGTTCGGGATGGTTGGAAGAAAGTTGGGGGCAACAAAACCAAAACGTGGCATCAGTGCTTGAAGTCACTAACTTGTAGTCTGAGCCACGTTGGTAGATGCAGACTATTTGGTTGGGTTCGCGTGACTATCGTAACCAATTGTTGGAGACTCTGGGTGACATGGCTCAGAATCGATCACAATGGCGTCGGTGTATACACTCCCTGTCTTCCCTTAAACTAAGAGATTAAAATCGCTCCATATCTTTCTATCTACGTACTAAATCATTCTTCCTGTACTATATCCTTATATGCAATCCTTCTTTTATATATTACCAGCTCTGAATTAACTACTTTTATGAATCCGGTGTCCATCTTATTGTGTTAATGAAGTATGGCAACTTGGACCGATGCATATATGTGCCTGGTCCTACGTTGTAGCTGACTGACTGACGTAGCTGTCTGCTGTAACTATGTTCAGACAATCATTTACTTCTAGTAAGCACCAACTTAACATATACGGAGAGACAATACCTAACATGGTGATCCCAAAATTTGATTCAACGATGAACTCAAACAGACTATTACCACCAGCCACTGTTGGAGAAGCCTGAGAAAAGATTACCTTTTCCTTTCGATCACATGTTCAAACTTTCATCGTGAGTTATTGTGAGCACACATTCGAATGACTTCTTCTAGGTGGAGAAAAGCTACAACAATAATAGTTCAGCTCAACAATGCAAAAGTTGGGTTTATGTATGAGGAACCAGAGAAGCATTTATCACTTTTTAAAGTGATGTTTGCCCCGATGGGATAGGACATGAAAGCTAAACAGTTGTACATCAGTGAGCTAAACTAAAAGGTTCGAAAAGTAAATCAATTTCGATGGTGTCTACTGCGTTGGCACACGATGAGAAACTCATCTCAATAGGCTCCGAACAGGATCGGGAGTAAAGACAACTTAAATGTAGATTGATGGAGAGTTTATGTAATGATAGTGAGCAGTGGTGGGCAACGAAAGCGAAAGACATGGAAAAGACAAAAGGCAATCGTTAAAACAATACAGTTGTTCAGTAACCAATTGCAGAGATGTTTAGTGATGGTGATTCAGTTTTAACGCAGATAGTGCGAGATAAGCTGTTAGACGCACAGTACTAGCTAAGGATGGCAAAGCAATTGATAAGGTAATGAATCTTTATCAACTGAGGTGGTTGAGAAATGTTTTACGTATTACCCAATTACCGCCTACCTAAAGGAGCGATGTTTGACAGTGTAGGAATAGGATTGAAACTAGGGGTAGGTAAACGAGAACGTCCATGAGCTGTGTTGGTAGGTGCAGACAACTTGGTTAGGGTCAGGGAGATTTCCATAACGATTGGTTGCAGACATTGGGTAACACAGCGCAGAACTGGTCATAATGGTACATCTATGATCACTTCGTTTCCACTTAGACAAAGTTTTTTAAAAATTATCTCATACATTTCTGTTCCACGAATTTATCCATTGTTCTCGAATGATGCTGCTCATGCTTAAATATTCTCCATAACCATTGGTACCGTTACTAATTCTATTAGTCTGGCATTTATTTTGATTTCATCTTGTGCTGATGTGGTGCGGTGACTTGAGAAGACCCATATTTGCGCCTGTTTCTACGTTAATGACTGGCTCAAAATCAATACGTGGATTATTTTTACGTATGTTTCCTTATATAAATACACAGCTTCCCATAAAATAATACGACGAATAGTACGGTTACTATAACAACCTATAACACATGTTTCAAATTTATTGTGAAATGGAGTAGTGCGCCAAAGGTGCAGATAAGCGACCACTAAAAAGTTTTAAAAAAACATAAATCACCCCAAATAATAGTTCCGGCTGATTAAAAAGTTTTTGTCCGCTTTGCGTAAATTATAGGAGATAAATGGGTTTGTTTACTTGGTTATTAGGCCAATTTATGCTATGAACGTCAATAAAATGGCTTGGATGTTCAAGATACTGTATGTGGTGAGAGGTGAAAACGTACAATGATAATAATAATAATAATAATAATAATAATAATAATAATAATAATAATAATAATAATATTAATAATAACAATAATAATAATAACAATAACAATAATAACAATAATAATAATAATCATAACAATAACGATAATAATAATAATAATAAAAGAAGAAGAAGAACACAACCTCGTCCATCAAGTTCTTGGATGTGAGCTGCACTCTAAATGCAACCTCTAATGATAATATCCGGTTGCGCAAATTGGATTAGGTAGAGCGGGGTTCGAACCTGGTACGTAGTAGGCATATAACCCGCTGGGATCAATAATCAATAAATACTAAAATACATGTGACATTATCTAGAAAGGAATTCTATTTAGCTTCCGAGTTTAACTTATTTTACTCAAACGAAATTTGTGCTTTAACTACTAATCTAATTGAAATCCACAACTGCAGGTGAACAGTTGTATTCATTTATCAAGTACATGAACAAAACGCTTCAAAAATCTTAAAAACGATTGGTCTTCACTAACGAAATTTTCTTCATAATGGTCCAGAATACATAAATATATAATTTAATGTTTTTGAAACATTGTAAATACCTTTGGAAGTTTTGGTGACTTTTTCAATCTTAAAGATGGCCGTTGTGTTGCCACATGAGTAGTCGTGAATGAATTATTGGCCAATGAATGATTTTGCTGAGATGCAATATTTCCGCTGAGTTCTCTTAAGTTTAATTCATTAGATATATGATTATCATGATCACAGGCACCACATAGAGAGCGACATGACACCTTTTGACAATGTACTGAATTCTACAATTATAAAGGTCGGTAACAATTTTTTGAAATATATACCAAATACATAACATGAAAAATCCCCATAATACAAGGAATTTATAGTACAACTAACTATCCCGTTTAATTACGTGAGATCGTTCGCTACTTTTACTAAAATATAACATACTTCGACCCCTAATTATTAAAAACGCATACAGAGATAATTTTGGGCTTTTCTCAAAGTAAATTATCGTTTTCTGGCAGGAGCATTGTCGGTTAAGATTAGATAATGCACCACGAACAAAGTTTCGTAACGAAGATAAATATTATTTTATAATAAGACGGGGTTTAGTACAGTCAAAATCGTTGTTTTGTTCACCAAAGGAGCTAAATTGTTAAAGTTAAGAAAATGAGGCAAATATCACATGTTAGCTAAGAACAGCCAATAACTGAGAGGTGAAACAATACATACTCTTAAAAAAATATTAACATGATAATTGTTTCGCGGGTAAAGTGCTTAGTGCTTTCTCGTCATTTACTGAAAAGTGTTCTCTGTATTTTTGAGTGAAGCACGACCAGACATTTGTATAGTGTATAGAGATTACGACAGTTAGGTATAAAACAAATTGTGGTATAAAACATAGATTATTTAAGTAACCTTTTTAAAATATTCACTTATTTGTGTAGTATGCAGTTGGTAAGTTATCAAATTATTAAGATACAGGACAAAAATTATTGTGAAGAGGTAGCATGTAACTTGACAGATTTCCAATTAGGATTTTTACGTTCCCTGGAGAACAAAATAACCCAGGTGAGGCAATTTGCCCAGCTAAAATTAAATTTTCTATCCCTGCCAGCTACTAGAAATGCCCATCCAGAAACTCTATCGTAGTGAAGTTTAAAACCCCCTTACTAGGTTTTAATTTTTTAAAAACTTACACCGGTATCAAAAGCAAAATCAGGCGATTGCACACCGTTGTGCAAATTTTCCTTTGCTATGCATGTAAAGGTGTCTTTTGTTCTGCGAATTCGAACTGAAGGTGACAACTTTCTTTTTTTACTGTTATGATTGCCAATGATAATTTTTTTTTGGTTTTGCCTTTGAGAGTGTATATCTAGCTGGTCTGAAGATACTTCGGAGTCATTGGAGGCAGTGGCAAAGTGGGATGATCTTCGTTTTCTCGTTTCAGCACGGTTTTTAACTGGGATACTTGATAAAGTGAAATCAGGACTGCTGAAATCAGATGATTCGCCTCCCCTTGCAGGGACACTTTTACTGTGATGTTCTTCGGAAGACGAATAGCCACCATTAGTTAATAACTTGTCATGTTCTGTACTACACCGAAGAGGTGCTAACTTTACATTTCCAACAAATTCGTTTGCTTTTATAGGAGATAAGCAAGGGGATGCACGACTATCACCTTCTTGTTTTGATTTAATTGGAGATCTTGAATCTGTCGTTTTTGTAACTAACGTTCGAGATAAATCATCAGTTTTTAACGACAGATTTCGAGGCTTTTTAGGTAGATTTATAAAACTGTCCCAGTCTAAAAGCGACCGTCTTGCTTTCTGTGGATATTCACTTGAACTGTGTAAATTTGAGTGGTTTGAATGTGAACCAGCTGAAGTAAACGTCATCTGTCTATCACTTGAGCTTTCTTTGGATTCATTAATATTTTTCTGACTTACAACAACGTCACATACATCTCCAACGGATGAATGCTTTATGCCAACCTTTTGGCAATCATATTCCTTGACTGCTTTATTCGAAGTCGAATTTAAATGAAGCACTCCACTTGAATCTGAAACATAACAAGTGACCTTTTTAAATATCTTGTTAACATTCGTAGACAGGAGAGCAAACTTTATCTATTGGATATGGAATAGGTTGTCAATTACCGAAAAAAAGCGTCTAATGTAATTTAGTTAACCTGGTAATCAGATATAACTTTTACATGACGAAACCACAATTATTTTGTGTAGACTGACAATACTAGCTTGTGGTTCAAGCGGAAATTGGGTGAAAACTAATGGTTCGGAGGTTACAAAATTATTAGAACTCCACAGTAGTTTTGAGCACTGTTTCTAAATAACGGGCTGCCGGTTCAAACCCTAATTCAATTATAGCAGTTTGGGCAGTCGGAAAGTAACAACATCATGGAGTGCCGCCTAAAGCTGAATAAACAAAACTGCTCTCAAAAATGAGAACTCTAAGCTGAAATTTCAGTTACGATGTAAAGAAACTGTTACTGTGTAATAACCACTAACACTACTAAATAAACCCAATAACATACAAGTAAGCCATATTCTTAAGAAATTAGTTGTGATAAATGTTAAAACTAATTCACAAAACCAAGTATTAGGATTATAAATATAAGCTTTTCATAAATTGCTTCGAATCCTCACTAAAATAGGCCAAAAATAAGGGATTCAGCAAGACATTCATGAATCCGGGACCCCGTATCGTTTGTGTAAATAAGCTAGAAAAAAACACCGAAGATAATTATGCTACGTACCTTCAGAGAACTTCATGATGTACTGCCCTAATTATTCTGTAGATCTTGAAATCTGTTTTTGATCATGTGTATCACAAGTAGGATTTGCTGGGATCCTTCTTCAGATGACAAAATTTGAAACAGAACCAACTTATTCATATTTTTAAAAATACATTTGTGTTTGTGTTTTCACTGGGACGATTATCGGAGCAATTACACTGTATGCAGCAAAATAAAGACAGATGACCTTATAAAAAGTTGAAAGCAAGGAGAAAGACAAATGGCATATTAACAAAAGTAGCGACAAATTTGTGATCGAAGGGAAAAGAACTCGCACATAAGATAAGTCATTGAATATTCTCAAGAAATCAGACGACGCAATGTTTTCTATTATAAAATATCAGAGATAAATAATCAAGTCCCATACTAGTCATGATCTTCCTTATCGTTCACACCAACTAGTCTCTATCAACCGCGTGTTATTTCGGTATGCTGGACAGGCTCATCAATTGTGACAACCTAAGCGAGTTTTATACGTGAGTGCTTGCAGTCTTAGAAGAAATTCCAGTAACCAAGAAGTCTTGAACAAAGAAGTATGTGTCCCTGAGTTACTTTATTCGTAATATGTGGGTAGTCAGTCAGCCAGTCAGCTACAACGTAGGACCAGGCACATATATGCATCGGTCCAAGTTGCCATACTTCATTAACACAATAAGATGGACACAGGATTCATAAAAGTAGTTAATTCAGAGCTGGTAATATATAAAAGAAGGATTGCATATAAGGATATAGTACAGGAAGAATGATTTAGTACGTAGATAGAAAGATATGGAGCGATTTTAATCTCTTAGTTTAAGGGAAGACAGGGAGTGTATACACCGACGCCATTGTGATCGATTCTGAGCCATGTCACCCAGAGTCTCCAACAATTGGTTACGATAGTCACGCGAACCCAACCAAATAGTCTGCATCTACCAACGTGGCTCAGACTACAAGTTAGTGACTTCAAGCACTGATGCCACGTTTTGGTTTTGTTGCCCCCAACTTTCTTCCAACCATCCCGAACACCGGTTAGCATTGCACATCGTGGTAATCGGTGTTCACGCATACGTAACACGCGGCCCAACTTTCTCAGTTGATGAAGATTCACAACCTCATCAACTGATTTATCATCATTTCCTAATACCCTGCGTTTAACCTCACTGTTACTTAGCCGGTGATCCCAGCAGACGCCGGCAATATTCCTAAGGCATCTGTGGTCAAATGCTTGTAGCTTATGAGTGCAGAGTCTTATGACCACTCTAAGCAACAATGCAAACATGTTCGGGATGCGATTCTCCCCCTCGAAATGTAAAATGTTGCTTCAGGATTGGGTTGCATTGACACCCGAACTAATGACAGGGAGTGAAGTAATTGAGTGTGTCGATCGCTTCACTTATCTTGGAAGTCTCATCAGCCCTTGTGGTCTGGTGTGTGACGAAATCTCAGCACGGATACAGAGGGCTCGACTAGCTTTTACCAACTTGCGTCATTTATGGCGTAGGCGAGATATCCGTCTATCAACCAAAGGACGTGTTTACTGCGCAGCAGTTCGTTCCGTCCTACTTTATGGCAGTGAAACATGGCCGGTAAGAGTAGAGGATATTCGTAGGTTACTAGTATTTGATCATATGTGTCTCCGAAATATTGCTCGTATATCCTGGGACTATCGAGTAAGTAACGCAGTTGTTAGGAAACGGGTACTAGGTAAGGATGGCAAATCAATTGATGACGTAGTGAAACTTCATTAGTTGAGATGGCTGGGACACGTGGTACGTATGCCCAACCACCGACTGCCTCGACGTGCGATGTTCAGTGGTATAGGAGTAGGTTGGAAGAAAGCTAGTGGCGGCCAGACCAAAACATGGCACAAGTTCATGAAGTCGCTGATAAGTGGGCAACCGGGAAGTGATAACCGCCCTCATACCTCTAACAGCACCCAAGACCACTGTATTCATAATCAACCTCCCTCTTCAATTCCTATTATTCCTCCTACATCGACTTTCAACTTTAAATTTCCTCTCTCGGCTTCCACCTCAAGTGTCACCATAGCCAACGATTCTAGTGCGCAAAACACTGTCCCAGGTCTACTGAAACCTCGCTCCAAACTACACATTGGAGCCTTCAACGTACGCACCCTATGTCAAATCGGTCAGCAGGCTTCCTTGGCTAAAACCCTAGAGTCTCTTTCCATTGATGTATGCTGTGTCTCCGAAACACGCATACAGGATTCCAGTGTGGTTATTCACTTGACCTCACCTCGGCAAAACGGAGAGCCAACAAGATACACCCTTCGTGTATCTGGTGACCCGATGGCAAGTTCTCGTGGACTGGCAGGTGTAGGCATAGCACTAAGCATGAGGGCGGAACAAACACTGCTAGAGTGGATCCCCGTCAACAGTCGTTTATGTGCCGTTCGGCTGAACGGCTACGTAAGAACTCGGAAGGATAGGGACACACGTCGTTGCCTTTTTGTCGTTTCTGCCTACGCTCCCACTGACTGCAGCTCAGATGAAGTGAAAGATGAATTTTACAGAAAGCTGTCCGAACTTCTTCAGAAGGCTAAACGCTCAGACATAGTACTCGTAGCAGGTGATTTTAATGCTCAGATAGGTAGCTTAAACCAAACAGAAAGGCATTTAGGTGGATATTTCAGTGTTCCGACACAGCGAACAGATAATGGTGATCGTCTGCTGCAGCTATGCTCAGACAATCGTTTATTTTTAGCAAACACAAATTTTAAGCATAAGGAGAGACATCGTCTAACATGGCGACCCCCTACACCAAACCAACGATGGACTCAAATAGACCATATTGCCATCAGTCATCGTTGGAGAGGGTCGGTAGAAGATTGTCGCTCATTCTGGAGTACCTGTTTGGACTCCGACCATGCCCTAATACGGGCACGCATCTGCTTGCGCCTCACTGGATGCAAAAAAGCCACATTAAAAAAGACCCGTCAGAACTGAGTTGAGTAACGAGAAAATCAAAAGTAGGTTCCAGGAACAACTGAGGTCACACGTAGGTAGTTGTGAAGACGAGGCTGACCCAGATGTTGCTTGGAAGGGCATACAATCAGCTGTGGAAACAGCAGTGACATCTATTAGTGACTTAAACCACAGAGTTGCAAGGAACCAGTGGATTTCTTCAAGGTCTGTCACACTGATGGATTCTCGCAAACTCGTCCCATCAGGTTCTGAACATGATGAAGAGCGAAAACAAATCAGATCTAGGTTAAGAAAAAGTCTAAGGAACGACCGTGAGCAGTGGTGGGTAACGAAAGCAAAAGAGATGGAAAAGGCGGCGACTATAGGGAACACAAGACAGCTTTACAGACTAATAAAAGAAACTGGAATTAATAAGTCAAGTGTAAGTGAGATTATTTCGGAAAAAGATGATACACTCATCTGCTCCCAGTCCAGGCCTTTAGAACGATGGGCGGAACATTTTAGAGAACAGTTCAGCTGGCCTTCAGCTACTGTACAACTACCCTCCATTCCCAGACAGTGTGAATGGAACATTGAAGTAGGTCCCCCAACTCTTGCTGAAGTTCAAAAGGCTATAGTTAATCTGAAACGAGGAAGGGCAGCTGGTCCAGATGGATTGGCTCCAGAGGTCTTTAAGGATGGTGGCCCAATTTTAGCGATTAGGTTGACTAATATTTTAGCTAAGATCTGGGAATTAGACTTTATCCCATCTGACTGGTCGCAATCACTTATCGTCCCAATATATAAGAAAGGGTCAAAATCATCCTGTGACAACCACAGAGGGATTAGTTTAACAAACATAGTATCTAAAATACTGGCCTCGATAATTATCAAACGCCTAACTAAGACTCGTGAACTACAAACTCGAGAGAACCAAGCTGGCTTTAGACCTGGTCGTGGCTGCATCGACCACATATTCACCATTCGTCAGGTTCTAGAACACAGGCATACCTATCGGCGTCCGACGATGGTGGTCTTTCTTGACTTAAAAGCAGCATTTGATTCTGTAGACCGCGAGACTCTGTGGCAGTGTCTGTCATTGAAAGGCGTACCTCAGAAGTACATAAACCTTGTGAAGGCTCTTTACTCGAACACTACTAGTCGAGTCAGAGCTTATGGCGAACTGTCATCTACTTTTGCAACTTCAAGTGGTGTCCGTCAAGGCTGTCCACTTTCTCCATTTTTGTTTAACTTCATCATAGACCTATTGATGGAAATAACACTCTCGTCGACTGAATTCTCGGGTATTGATCTCCTTCCAGGAGGTCCACTTATCGACTTAGAATACGCAGATGACATAGTCCTGTTTGGTGAAGACGCTGACAAAATGCAGAGTCTTTTGGTAGCACTAAGCAACAATGCCAGAATGTTTGGGATGCGCTTCTCTCCCTCTAAATGCAAGTTGTTGCTTCAGGACTGGTCTGCGTCAACACCTGAACTAAGGATAGGGAGTGAAGTAGTCGAACGCGTCGACAACTTCACTTATCTTGGAAGTCTGATCAGCCCTAATGGGTTGGTGTCTGACGAAATTTCAGCACGGATTCGAAAAGCTCGTTTGGCTTTTGCCAACTTACGTCACCTAAGGAGAAGGCGAGATATCCGTCTATCAATAAAAGGACGAGTATACTGCGCGGCAGTCCGTTCTGTCTTACTTTACGGCAGCGAAACATGGCCTTTAAGAGTGGAAGACACGCGTGAGCTACTAGTATTTGACCACAGATGCCTTAGAAATATTGCTGGCATCTGCTGGGATCACCGGGTAAGTAATAGTGAGGTTAGACGCAGGGTATTAGGGAATGATGGTAAATCAGTTGATGAGGTTGTGAATCTTCATCGACTGAGATGGTTGGGTCACGTGTTACGTATGCCCAAACACCGATTACCACGACGTGCAATGCTAACCGGTGTAGGGGATGGTTGGAAGAAAGTTAGGGGCGGCCAAACCAAAACGTGGCATCAGTGCCTGAAGTCACTAACTTCTAGTCTGAGCCGTGTTGGTAGATGCAGACTACTTGGTTGGGGTCCGCGTGACTTTCGTAACCAATGGTTGGAGACTCTTGGTGACATGGCTCAGAATCGATCACAATGGCGTCGGTGTATACACTCCCTGTCTTCCCTTAAACTAAGAGATTAAAATCACTTCATATCTTTCTTTCTATTAACTAATTCTTTCTTCCTATACTATATCCTTATTGCAACCTTTGACCTAACCACTGCTATGAATCCGGTGTTCATCTTGCTGTGCTAATGAGGTATGGCAACCTGGACCGATGCACATATGTGCCTGGTCCTACGTTGTAGCTGACTGACTGACTGACTGACTGGACTGAGTCATGTTGGTAGGTGTAGACTATCTGGTTGGGGACTGCGAGACGATAGTAACCGATGTTTAGAGACCCTGAATGACATGGCTCAAAATCGTTTGCAATGGCGCAAGTGCATACACTCTTTGTGTTCTCTCAAATTTTGATCTTATCCCTCCTTGTCTCTTTTTTTCTCTTCCCAAATTTATTTCACTGTATTATACTCTTTAAACATCTCCAAACACTAATTTTCCAGATTACCGCTTATACTCTTATTACCTCTATCACTACGGGATTTGAATCGATCATTGAATCTCTGTGCTAATGTGGTGTGGCAACTCGAACTGATGTACGTACGAAGTTCTACGTTGTTACTGACTGACTGTCTTCTACTTTTAATGGCCATGTTTCGCGGCCAAAGGTGGTTACTTCGTTACCGGAAATATGGGGGTAGGACTATCTGTAAATATACTGTGTATTTTGCGAAGACAGACCTTTAGGATCGCAGGTTATAAAGTTGTTTACACGGGCATATACTTGCAATCAGTGTTAGCTATTCCACCCAATTCGGTCGACCGAAGGTTTAATGCTAGAAAAAATTGAAGCGAAATATAATGCATTATAGGTTAACAGGATGAAAATTCTTTCAAAAGAATTCATCGAAAAATTTTACAGGTTACCCAACTTGAATGAAGAATGATAGGGTCTTCGATACTAAAGTGGTTACTCGCGGATGAGAACAATGATGTTTAGTCATAATATTCACACTCTACTCATGAAATAACTGCCTAACAGCTTCTATAGTTTAAATATGTTGGATCGATCTATCCAAACAACCTTATTTGAATGTATGGACGGCATGGTGAAGAAGATTTGTAGCTCAGGTGGATGATTTTGGTGGAGTTTTATTCTCTGAGCTGGATGGTTTGGTTGTGGAGCTTTCATCGTTCTTCTGAACAAAAATCAAACCAATGGGAGACACAACCAAAACAAAGAAGTAAACAATGACAAATTTAAGGTCAGTAAGGACCAATCAACATCGCGGTGCACAGAACAAGCAGTGAAACACATATGGAGAAATTCGAACACTTCACTTCTATCTGAAGTTTGTGCTGATGATGTCGTTCAGAAGAACGATGAAAGCTCCACGACCAAACTATCCAGCTCAGAGAACAAAACTCCACCAAAAGTATGGACGGTATAAATAGTAGCCAATAGGTGCATGACATTGTCAGTCGATACCAACCCTACTACTAGTGGCAAAAGATAGTTTTGTATCCTGACCAAACAAGTTGGTCCGAAAACAATGAATGGATGATTGAACAAGTAACCACTGGAAACGAATATCAGCAGATGTCATGAAACAAACGGATAACGACAATACTCACTAGTTTGTAATTAATGAAGCACTGTCCAGTTTAAGCCTGAAAATAGCTGTAAAAGGGGAAATTCAGTGCAGAATGCATGAACACAGAGACTAATGTCTACCGGATACTGTAATCACTTTTTTAAAGCCTTCCAAATAACAGGTGAAAATGTGTCATACTTTCCAACCGGTACCCTAGATGTAATCAGGAACATGCAGTTCCAACACCACTTTCCATAATTCATGGTCTTGGTCCCGCGCTTAACTGTAGGCTAAAGAATGATTTTGCTACAATATCATGTATACCAAACGATTTGTATGATTCAGTCGTGCCGTCCAAAATAAAGGCCATCAGATAAATCAAATATGGTAATAAGGCTTGTTTTCATCATAAAATCTTAAATTATTTAGACTACTTATCGTAAAACATGGCCCAGACACACTTAGACATTTTGAAGGAAGGCAAAGATCTTATTAGTACTCCAAATAAAGTATAATGCAATTAATAGAGACTCCCTCTATGTAGCTCTCAGATCTACTTGGTGTAGTGATGGCTCTATTGAATGAATCAATCGAAAGAGGTTATGCACAGACACAGAACTAATAGGTCCGACAAGTAAACACTTTACTTCTCTGAGTCACCCGCTAAGCCCTTAAAATAGCAATTTCGTAAGCACCATAGAGATACCAGTGAGATAAAGATGAGTGAGGTGCTCTTTAACGCCCCAGAATCAGTTCCAGAAGTATACACGCTGAAGCGTTATAACGTCTCACGGAGAACAGCTATCCAAAAATGTAGGCTATAGTGAACAGTGCGTAGAATTACGAAGGAAATACGATTAGATTTTATTTAACACTATATTTTGCCCGGGTCACAAACCTTTTATTGCGTTCTCGAAGCTAACTAACACAGTAAAGACAAGGTCAAATTTCGCAAAATCCCCTTTACCGCGCACAACTACAAATTAAAATGGGACCACTGAAATGGGGTCAAATAAATCCCATTCGTAACTCATAGATTTTACAAACTAATATGTACCACTTTATCAAGCATCTTTCATTGCATGATACTAAATTATTTCCATGGGCCTCATTTTCGGTTCTAAAGGGTCATTCTTTGGTTATGTAGAGCCAGTGAAATAACACGGCCCTTGCCAAATCATCCAGGATACAGGTCACTGAATATCAAACAGCTTACCAATCCTTTTCAACGTCAAGGACAACCAACACGCACTAGTTAATTACATGCCTTGTACTAGCCTATGCGGCAGTGGTCGCACTCTGTATCTTGTACCAGTTCTTACTAACACATCTCTGTATAATCGTTATTTCCTTTCTACAGTCATCAAAGTAGCCACACTAACTGGACACGACGAAAGGGTAGTCCATATTACGTACAAACAGTGGCGTGTAACTTCAACGTAGGCTGGATGGTCACACCATACCCGTCCAACTCGAGTAGGCCCCCAATCAACGACTCAGGTCACCTACGTCGGTAATCTATAGTTGTCAAGCTCAAGTTTATATGAGGATAATGTTCCAAACGATGCCGCTAAATATGAAGGCATTTGCCTTCCTGTCATGTCAACGGAACCTTTGTTCGACTTCAACTTTAATAACTTCAGTTAAAGTCGTGTCATTTTATTACGTTTAACACTTAAATTATATATATTTTTACTACCACTTTGGTGGTTCAGCTTCGACAGAGATTAACAACATCGGTACTAGTTTTTCAATACGTCGTACATCCATATACACTAGTACTCTCTTGACATTTTGGTACACTGTCACGGTTTCAGGTTGTCACGCCTATACAATGTTCGGTTTTGCTCACCAGTATAGTCAATGCCATTTGTATATGTGGCAGTAAAGAATTGACAAGGTAAACAATTCAGTGATTGCAATTGATTGATCACTGGGTGGTGATCAATGTCATGCTTGTCTAGTCCTTATAAGTGCAAATCGAATGCTATCGATCATGTTGCAATGTGGCCACCAGTCTAGGTGACTCGATACTGCGGGCACTATGTATTGAGATTTAGATGGTGGTTGGAGGTAGTCAACAGGAAACGCTGGACCCGGGTTTCGTGCTACTTGGCACTCGTCAGCGTCTCAATATATATTTGTCCTTCATGAACATCTTCAGGTTTGACTAGACTTGGGATGTTCGATTACGATGATTTTGCGAACGAAGTTGCCGTCAACTCTCAATGGTGACCTTGACGTGATTTCGTAAACGATAAACTGTGAGTTGTAACATTATTTGTATACTTTTTACGCATGTCGACATTAATTCTCTATACTCGGGTGTTTTTCGCACATTTTACTTCTTAAGCCTCGTGACACGCTCGGACTTCCAAGAATTAAGACACGTACACCCCCACCTTGCGACTCATGACATTCTGGTCTGACAATATCGAATCCAGGCTGTGCTATGCAAATGATAACTTCCATGAGCATAGAGCGACAGAACACGTCATCGCAGCGGTGAAGCCATAACCATGTGACTTAGACCAGAACGTTACACCGAATATGTTTGTGTTTTGATGCATCCGAACTTTATGAAACTTTGAAAAGGGGCATCCTTAAATCTGGAGATCCAACCCATTGACAAAGGTAACGTCATCTACTTCACAGTATCGAGTTGTAGCATAGCTTGGCAATGGAAATGTTGCTGCTTGTGTGAAAGGCCACTAGTGGACGAAAATTTTCAAGCAAATATTATCTAGGCTCCCCCAACAGGTGCAAGCTTCTCATTTCAATGTAACGCCGTAACCAAACTGGCCGCACCTGTTAGCTGGACACTTAGGATAACTAGAACCCCCGGTTACAGCAAGGAAAGGCTTCGGCTAACTCTAAACGAAAACGCAGATCTCTACAGTACTCTCAGTCGTTTCCTGAACACTCATCATGATCTTGGACGCTCCGAAACCTGGTACAACACCATAATTTACTCCTCAATATATACAAACAGAGGTTAGTAGACGACAATATTAATTTACCGGTTTTTGGAACTACCATACGTAATCCGATGACAAACCATTAAAGATGCCACAGACATTTGGAGTTTGAAAATGATTTAACCAGTAACACTTTCTTATGTGAATCTTACTCACCAAGTGAAATCAAAAGACAGAAGCGAGGAGGTTCGAAGATATATTTGATAGGCTATCAATATGCCGAGGATCGACTGATCTGATCTGGCTAGCGATTGCAGGGGACGTTCAGCACGGCCTTCCACTTGTGATCTGGTGCGGACGAGTGACGGAGCGCCCTCAGCTAGGTGAGTCCATCAAAACTAATGTGGTCAGTATCCAATGTCGAAGACTTGCAGAACTATTTATTTTGGGGATTTATTTACCGCCACAGATCTCCCCCTCTAGTGGGGTAGTGATGACCCTAAGACGTGGCCAGTCAGAAGTTTAAACCTAACGAGATTGTCGTTGGCAGACACTCTTCTGATAGCTTGCAAGGTTTAGCATTTTCCTGCCGTGTAATACATATAGTAGAAATTAGTAATAAATTTTCGACTCATCGTAAACTTCGTCGTACTTTTTCTTCTTTTCCAACCGTCCTGGAAAATAAACTAATATGTAAGTGCATGTCGAAAAACACAAAGCGGGCTAAAAAGAGGAAAACAAATTCACGTGATAGCTTAAAAAAGGATTTTTACAAAATGATTTTTTGTTTTTTTCGAAATAAAATTATGAATATATAAGCATAATAAAATTGGATTTTTTACTTATAGATATTACAAAAGAAAATCGATATGATATAAAATGTCAACTAGTATCTTACGTGCAATAATCATTCAAATATTTTGGAAATCTTAGTCTTCTTCCAGAACGCGTTGTTTTAAGTTTATTTTTTGATACTGCCGAAGTATCCTCGTGCGTATAGGTTGTCGAGTGAGGTATTGTAAGTTCAAGAGCCGTGTCGTTCGATTGTACCGAGGGAGAATCGACGTGAATAGAATTTCCATCTAACTACGCTGCTTTTGAGGCGATCGATGCTGATGCTATCGTTGGTAACGTTCTCATCGATTACACAACACTTAGGTTGGCGTTGAAGCACTTTGAAAGGTCCTTCGTATGCTGATTCGAAGGGTCGTCGATGCGAGTCTCGCCGAACGAAAATGTGTGTACTATATTGTAAGTCAGGCTGAACGAAAACATCAGTTGATTGTGGTCGAGTGGAAACAGGTTTAACTGAACGCATTGCGTTTGTAAGCCTGCTCAGGCAGGAGTTTAGATCCATGTTCACTGAAAAGGATGAAGGATCCACGAATTCTCCTGGAAGTCGAAGTGTCGTTCCATAAACGAGTTGGGCTACAGTATATCCAATGTCAGCTTTCACTGCATTGCGAACACCTAGTAAGATGTGTGGAAGAATGTCAGTCCACTGAGAAATGTTTGCAGCTGATAGTGAAGCTTTTAGTTGTCGGTGAAAACGTTCTAGAAACCCGTTTGCTTGTGGGTGGTAGGCGGTCGTTCGGAAGCGAGTGATTCCTAAAAGTGTGGTCAGACAACGGAAAGGTCCAGATTCCAACTGGCGTCCGTGATCTGTAGTGATGGTTGAAGGGCAGCCGAAGTTTGCTACCCATCGTTTGACAAAAGCGTGGGCCACTGTTTCAGCAGTGATGTCCTTAATAGGTACTTTTTCTAGCCATCGAGCGAAACAGTCTACGTAGGTTAAGAGATAAGAGTATCCATTTGAATCTGATAAAGGTCCTATCAAATTCAGATAAACATGATCGAAACCAACGTCGGGAGTTTTAAATGAATCTAAGGGACATTTGTTGTGTCTAATAATCTCGGATTTCTCGCAGCTTACACAGAAGCTTGCCCACTCCCTCACGTCTTTATTCATTCCAGGCCAGCAAAATCGTTCTGCTATGAGTTTGATTGTTGCACGAACACTTGGATGGGAAAGTTTGTGTAACGTATTGAAGATGTTGCGTCGATAATGTTTCAGCCCTATTGGGCGATCCGTACCTGTAAATGTGTCACAAAGTAAGGTTTCCTTACCTGTTCCCATCTGTTTGATGCGCAGTTTAAGTGTTGTTAGGAATAACTTGTGCTGAAGATCAGTGTCTTCTTTTTGAATCTGGGCGAGTTTAAAAATATTGATTCCTTGGCAATTGTTCAAGGAAGTTCTACGAGACAAGGCTCCCGCAACTACATTGTTTGCTCCAGAAATGTGTTGTATATCTGAAGCAAACTGCGAAATATAGTCCACTTGTCGAGACTCACGAGGTGAGTACCTATCTGTGGAAAAGGTTAAAGAGAAGATAAGCGGTTTATGGTCAGTGAAAAGGGTAAATTCACGGCCTTTGATATAGTGTTGAAAATGCCGTACAGCACCATACATAGCCAGGAGTTCCCAACCAAAAGCGCTATACCTCAATTCAATGTCTAGCAACCATCTAGAGAAAAATGTCAAAAGTTGCGAGGAGTGGTTAATCCATTGTTGTAAGATTCCTCCGATTGCTGAGTCGGATGCGCCTAGTGAGGTACTAATGGGTGCTTCAGTGTCCTGATGTGCAGGCATTGTTGTTTGAGCGATAAGTTCCTTAACTGTGGAAAATGCTTTTCGCTCGGAATCGTCCGAATCAATGGATTTTGCATCTCCATGAAGCTGGTCAATTAGAGCTTATATAAGGGATGCGCAGTTTGGTATAAACGTCTATAGAAACTTACAAGGCCATTAAATGTGCGTAGTTGCTTGATGGTGGTTGGTTCTGGATAATCCAGAATAGCCGCCACTTTGCCTCTTAGAGTTCGGATGCCTTGCGCAACCATAGTGTGTCCTAGGAAATCTAAGGAGGTGGTTCCGACTTGGCATTTCTGAATGTTTACAGTAATGCTATGCTTTTGAAGCCGTTCGAAAAGAAGACCCAGATGCTGGAGATGTGATTCCCTGTCCGGACCTGCTATCAAGCAGTCAT